CCAAACACCAATGGACTTGACGTGATGCTGCCTTACTTCGTGTTACGCTCTTCTGTCCCGTTCAGACAGGGCAACAGAGAAAGTCTTTAAACTGCTTTATACCACACTGACACACAAATACACACATTTTAACACAGGCGGGGTAGGGAGTGGGACACACCACCACCACCACAAAAGAAAAGCTCCAATGACATTCAGGAAACAAAATAAAAAAAGAAGAAAGAATTGTGGGTTATTGTTTTGGCTTGTGGGCCAAATGCCTCAACAATGAGTTAAAAAAGAAAATATGCAACGACTGCCATGTCGCTTCCTCCTTACTGGTTGGCGAGAAAAAGAGTCACCTCAGCAGTTCTGCAGAAGCAGACACCACGTGGAAAGCTCAGGAGGCGGGAAACGCTGTCCGACACACACACACACACACCGGCTAACCTCAGACTCAGAGGATCGGTGGTGGTGGCGGTGGTGCTGCTGCTGCAGCTGAGGGCAAACACTCACACACTCAAACACCGCAGAGCAGACTCCTCCCGACCGCTGGAACGTTAAGATCAGCCTTTGTGTGTGCATTTCAGCAAAGGGCGGTGTGGTTTTGTCACATGCCGGCGTAACAATCCAACACAAAAATCACAACCTGGCAATAGAAAGGACTATTTTTATGGTGACACACTCAACTAACAGCACATTACTGACAATATACGACATGTGTAACCTAACCCGATGTTAATGACCGTGTTCGCGGAGTCCGACAACCAGCATGCACTAATTGTCTCTTCCTCTGCAGTTCCACCTTAACGTCTATGCTGTGTTGCCCTTAGAAACCCAGCAGCGCACACACTCTCACACACACACAAGGTGCTGTGTAAGATGTGTGTTATTGTTACAGGAAATGATACAAGGTCATTGACTTGAGTCACTGTATGCAAAAATTTTAATTTGCGAATTTGTTTTTCCTCCCGTTGTTTTCTGGTTAATTTATAATCCAGTTGTACTTTTGTTATCTAGCTTGAAAGAAAAATCTATTTATTTTTCAGTTTCATGTCATATCACCATTCGCGGAGAGTGATTTAGTATTATGGTTAAAGAAATTGTGATTTTTGTACCAAGGAAATGTCCGCTCCGCTCTTTGACATTATTTGTGTGTAAAGTGTGTTTCTACTTCATTGTAACATTACATTATTCACTAGGTCACTGGTTCTAGTGGCAGCCTTGTTTGTTCATTTTTCTCTTTTGCTAATGACGACAATTCCCAAACCATGACCAAAGGGGTTTGCCCTTCATGTGTAGAGAGAACTACAAATATGAATGACAGGAGACCTGAGCAGAGTGGACCAATGAGAGCGGGTTTCCTCCCTCATGTCCCTCCCCAGCGTCTCTTCTTCTAGGCTTTTTTTTTTTTTTTCAAATGTCCTGTCGTTGATGGGGCCGAGTTGTCTCTGTGTTATCTCAGTGTAAGAGATGAAGTTTATGGAAAAACTAATGAAATTACATTAAGAAAGAAGACATCTTAAGGTGATTTTTATTTATTTATTGTCTCTCTGAGAGGATTCGGGGCGCAGGAGACGAGTCCGCCACCTTTTGATGCTGTGCTACTCTCAGTGTGATGATGAGAACCATGGAGCGAGGGGTGTTACTAGGAGTAAATTGTGTAAAAGTAAAACTAAAATTATAAACAATTTTTTTGTTCTGTTTTTGTATTAAAAAATATGCTTGCAGTAATTCTGTCTCTTGTCTCTGATTTGTTTGGATTATTGATGAATGTTTGCACAACAAATCTGAAAGCTTCTGTGTTTGTGTATGAAAGTAGGCTATGTGTGCTGTGTGTAAACTTGTAATATTAGAGGTGAAATGATGAGTCTATTACTCAATTGACAATTGACCAGGCAACTATTGATTAATCTTGAATGTATTTTTTTTAAGCAAGATTTCTTGTGTGTTGATTTTCTTAGTCATCTCTGATAATAAATAAAGTATCTTTTGGTTTTTTGAATGTTCATTTTATAGACTAAATGATCGATTAATATGTAAGAGAATATGGGCTGATGACACATAATGTACAATTGTATATGGGATTTCTTCATTAATAGAACCTTTTTATTATTTTTGCTCATGATTTTCAATACAATTTGGCTTTTTAAAAGGTGTGTGTAAATGCACATCCCAGTGCACATATTGCTGTTTTTTTATTATTATACACACATTTACAGTAGATGCAACTTTTTTGAAAGTGTGTGTAGGTTTTCAGGGGTTTTTTCCCCTCCATCATAATGAACATTTTTCTAAGAGTATTTTTCTTTTTTCTCAATTTTTATGATTTTAACTGTTTTGTTGTAATTTGTAGTTTGATCCGATCAGTTTTTAACATGTAGTGTGCACACACAAAGTTCTTACATTTTCTTAAAAGTAGGCCTTATGTGTATACGTTTATAATTTTTGTATAGACTGGACTGAGCTAAATGGATGTGATTTTGTTTCTTTTCTCTTGTGTGTGCATGTGCTACATTCCCTCACGCCTGACAGCCGACCACAGACTCCAAGGCAGAGACCGGACATTTCTAGCTAATTATCCTGTAAAAGATAAGGACACGCCCGATTGGATCTTCACTTCTGTGGTCAGAGATGAGGTAAACACAGGGGAGGTGATGGTTGAAAGTCATTTTAATAATGTGGGAATGTCTGCTTCCCCTCCGCTCTGCCTCAGCTTTGGGATTTGTCTTTTTAAGATCACATTCACAGTCCCAGTTTATGTGTCTGTGTGAGACAGAAAGGGAGAATTTGAAAATAACTTTGTCCTGTTTATTTGGTGGTTCCACCGGAGATGATGAGGTCTGAGTCCACCCTCTGCAGCTGTGTGTACACACACACTGTCTCCTCTCATTTTCTGTCCTCTCTCAATCCATCTACGCCCGTCCTCCCTGCAGTCCATCTGTCATCCCAGACTTCTCTCTCTGATGACAGTCCCCGCTCTGTTCCACCACTTCTGTCTCTCAGGAATGTCATTTTTCATTTCTGTTGGGTTTATATGGTTTTAAGGGCACTCAGTTCCCCTTCGTTCCTTCTTTTCTTGTCACTCCCTCTCTGTTCTTTCACCTCCTCTTCGTCTTCTCTCAGTCCTCTCACTATTATCTCTCCAGACAAAACATCTTAAAGTTGCAGATGTGCAGAGGAAAGAAAAACAAAATGGGCAGAGCGTTAATTCCTGGCATTTGGGACTTGCCCTTTCAGCCAGGACAAAATGAACCGCGGTCAGTTTGGTTTGGTCAGTGTTATTCATGCCTTTCAAAGTGACCGCAAGTACCAGGCCGCTTTTGAAGAAAAGAGTACACAAACACGGGCTGGCACAGGGCTGAACTTCACTACTATATTTGAGTCATTCCTTCCCTCCAAATCCTTTTGGTTTAAACACACACATGCACAGTGTGTGTTTGCATTAGGCTTGCTGCAGGGAAAGCTCAGTAAACTAATGAATGGATCAATGGGAAATGGTGTTTCACGGTGTAACGCAAAACCTGCCACTTCAGAGTAGAGGTGTTCAAAGTTTTTCTTTAATGTTAGCTTGATGGCAGAGCTCCAAACCAAAGCTGTGACCGTGATGTTTGAGATGTTGGAGCTTTAACATTGGCACAAAAAACACCAAAAATGATAAAAGGTAGTAAATGATTATCAGACAAATTAAAACAATAAATACTTTAAGTTCAATGAAAATGGAGCATTTAGCTGAGCTGCAAGTTATTGCTAAAAGTTTACAGACACTATTGTAATTTGTTCATAACATATAAATCTTCAAGTGCATTTCTCTTTGGAAAGATGTTTTGGTGTCATCTTTTGAATTTTGTAGATTTTTAGGATTTCCTTTTTTCTAACAATGTCAAAAAAACCTTCAAGTTGTGTTCAACTTTCTTGGTGTTAGCTTGCCAGCTATAATGCTTTAGCTACTGTACTTACTTTTACAGTGATTATCCATGTATGCAGTAAAGTAGATGATTAACATTATGAGCACTGGCTGGTGTATTTTTATAAAGAAATTTAGCTTTAGCTAGAGTTGTTGAAGTCATACACGTAGAAACATGGGGGGACAACATGGTTGACGGTTAGAAACGTTTAAATAATGGTGCGAAATCACATATTGCAAATACATATATGGTGTCATTTGTAATATGGTATTAGGTTGCTCTCCATGTCAACAATGTACTGGTGCAGTAAAAACTGGGACAAACAAATAATTTTGTAATAGAAAGCTTCAAACTGTTCAGCATAGTCGGATGACAATAATAATGCTAATCCGAAATATCTTTATAGTAGCATCCATGTTATTTCCACGTTCGGACTTAAAGCACATGAACACACCGCAGTCGAACTAACTCGGGAAATGGGACCATCTGAGGAGCACAAGAATGCAGCTTAAGATCCCCAAGAAATAGGAAAACTAAGGAGTTGAAAAATAAATTGAGTTTTATTTATTCATATATAAATAATATAAATTCATGTATTTTATCAACTGATTAAAGGAATAGTATAAAGATTTATATTTGGTTTTACACTCAATTTTAATTATTAGACTAACAGTATTATTTAAGTACTCGCTTAGATTTTTGACTTGTCTGATAACTTGCTAGAGTTTTCGCGCTCCATACACTGTGACATTTGTTGAGAAATTAAAATCCACTTTGGCCCCTGATGCTAGTTCTGAGTGGAGTTGCTATTAAACAGGGCACTAGGCCACAACGTCCTTCCCGCCAAGTCGCCTGAAACTCAACGTTGAGTAGCTATGAAAGGAAGCAGTCATGAGGAGATGAAAAGATAGATGGGTGGAGGTAAGAAGGAGCGAGAGAGAGAGATGAGGTCTCCCAGAGAGACCACGGGGAGGGGTGATGATGAGATGCAGGGCAGCGGAGAGAAGTTTAAAGACTTGAAAGAGGTTGAGAGGCGGAGGCTGGGAGGGAAACTCCCTCCTGGTTAAGAACAACTGTTACACTCTCTAACCTTCATACACAGGATACACTCTCACTGCTGCACAGCTCTGCTTTTAGATGCTCACACACTCCCAACAGGCACTGAGAGTGTGCACAAGACTGTAGAAGAAACCTCTCGCCTCTCCCAAGGATTACAATCAGGAAACAATTTCCTGGAGTTATCATTGTTGTAAATTGGATTAAGAAAGACATCTGGAACCCCAGAGACGTGTGGGTGGGGAGCGGTCTTGAATGGATGAATAAGTACTCAAGGATGACTGGATAAAAGTTTCCAGCAGCGATTGCTCCACAGGAGACGATTCTCATGATGTATCTTGTTGAACGTTGACTCACTGTAAAGTGTGAACTTTATTTCCTCGTGAGCTCAAGGAGGATTTGGGAGCAAACCTGATGACACAGCTCTCAAATTTCACTCCAATCTCTGCAGCACCTGCTCATCACTGAAATTGCTTTCCATTCTCCAAGTTTACAACTTCAAAGCGCAGACCAATCTTCCACAGAGGCATTGTTTGTCTATATTCAAAACACATTGTAAGCTTGTAATTATGCCCTCACTCTCATTATCTCTGTTTCTTCTGGTGCACGAGTAAAGAGGTGAGGGCGAAGAGGATCAGAGGGTGAGGAGTTTTTTTCTTCTTCAAGGAAGGCAAGGAGGGAGGGAGAGATAAACAGAGGTAGTTTAAGGCGGTAAACACATCCCGTCCAGAGCCAGCTCTCTTCTAAACACATCAGGCATAAATCAGCGCTGCATTTCACTGAGGTGACTCTGACACAGGAGGACAGACAGTCAAGGGACAAACTGGAGCGAGTAGAAAACACTGCGGTTGTCAGTCTGGAAACATTGGTGCGAAGATAAACTGAAGTCAAGAAACCTGTTCAGCTGATTATTTGTGAGAGTAAAAATCTTGATTTGCCACCAAACCAGAGCAGCCATGGCCTCAGACGTCTCCCATAGCTTCTCTTGTCTTTGCAACAAGATGAAACAGCAGCACATGAGCAAAAGCAGCAGCAGTGTTTTCCAGCAGCAGCGGATCAAATCCACCTCAAGACCCCACCAGCCTCTCCTCTACCCCAGGACCCTGCTCCTTCTGCCCCTGATGCTCCTGCTTATTCTCTCCCTGTGGAGCCAGCAGGCCGAGGCCGTGGTCCATTCCAGTTTCCGGCGGCTCAGCGGCCGTGAGAAGAAGGAGATGCAGAAGGAGATCCTGTCCATTTTGGGTCTGCCGGGGCGACCCAGACCCCACCCGCCGCTACGACCGCCCTCCTCTGCACCGCTCTTCATGCTGGATCTGTACCACGCCATGTCTGCTGATGGGGAGGATGAAGGGAATGAAATTATTATCAACGGACCTGGCATGGGGAAGTTTGGAGGGGCAGAAAGATTGTCTCGTGTCAACCACGCAGCCCCACCGACACTCAGCACGCACACACCGCCGCTGGGCACGGTGGTCAGCGAGGCCGACACAGTGATGAGCTTCGTCAACCTGGGTGAGTAAACTAGTCCATGAACGCAGCTCCCATTGGGTAGGTGATCCCTGGCAGCTTAAAAGCATAGTTTGACATATTGGGTAAAACAAGTTCTTACTTCCTTGCTGAGAGCTTGATTAAAAACATTGATGCCACTCTTCACTGTCTGTACATTTAATATGAAGCTGGAGTTGCTGGTTAGCTTAGCTTAGCATAAAGACTGGAAACAAAGGTAACAAAATATACCTGCCAGCACCAATGTTTCCCTTTGGATTCTTTTCAGGGAGGGTGGTAGACTCCCTGAAACTACTAGTGTCGCAGAGCAGGAGCGTTACTGATACATGTTGTCATCATAGACCTTGCGCACAAATTTTTGCCTGTTTAGGCTCGTCACCTTCTCCGCTCCCCTTCAACATTTTTACCGCCAAAGTTACCACCTTGTGATGACGCTTGCTACATTATATATATATATATATATATTCTACATGCAGATATTAGGTAACAAGACCATGGATAGGGCCCTATGAGATTTGTTTAAATTTTTACCAGATTCTGTGTTTAAAAATTTAAGCACATCATAAAGAGTGTTTAATCACGTGTATAAAATTTCAACAATTCCATAAGAAAATATTACAATTGAAATTTCAATGAATTTGATGTATCATGCAAATATGCTGATAGAAATATTCAAATGTATGTGCAGTTATTTATGAAGACAGTTCACAATAAATATAATATTACAACAGTAAGATATTAAAATACTATAAAACTATTTAATAGGGAAAATTCAAAATGAATCCATTGTTGCAATACATGCATTATGAATTGTTCCCTATTAAACAGGTTATTACTTGACAGCCTCCATATGCTGCTGAACACACAGTATAAGTGGGTCTGACTGAGGGATGTGGACAGCGCTCCTCCTTGTTTACAAAGCTTGACCAGATGCAGCTTTTTAATTTAATAAATAATATATAAATTAATAACCGAATATCTGACTTTGCCCACACAGTCACGAAATGTACTTGTGCATCTGCCGATGCGGTTGCACTTCTGAGAGTTTGTTGAAGTGATGAGCTCTTGCTAGCTATATTTTTTTGTCATTCTTTCTCGGTGTGCGGGGGTTGTCAAAAAATTGGAGGGAAAACACTGAGCACCTATAGGCTCACTAATTAACACATTATTATGTTGTTTGTTTAATCCATACAGAAATCAGTGTAAAAACACATTATAGTTTCACGTGCCAAACTATTTCTTGGCCGGGTGCTGTGACTTCCTAAAGACATAGTCCAACACATAACCACAAGTTGATGTTTTGACATTTCTGTTTATGTATTGATGAAACAAACAAAATATAACGTGTGAATTTGTGAGCTTTAGAGGTGCTGGTAAATCAATTGTGTTATATTTTGAAGGGCCAGGCTCTCTGTTTTCCCCTTGTCTTTGTGCTAAGCTAAGCTTAGGGCTGCAAGGTGCAGCTTCGTACCTGCAGACAGACATGAGAGTCGTATCAATCTTCTCATCTAACTTTTGAGAAGTAAGCAAATAAGTTGCCAATTTCCCAAATATAAATAGTATTTCCCAAAGTATCAAACTATTCCTTTAACCTTAAAGAGACAAAATATTCTATCATCAGTTGCAGTGACAGAGCAGCTTTTGACTTCGCGGTTTGGCTACAAAACGTAAACTCAGAAAGGATGAAATTACACTGTGTGTGAACTTGATGACACGGACAGTGACATGTCGGTGCTACCGTTTTAGTTTCTCTGCTGTGCAAATTTCCATAAACATTCACCCCCACAGAGAGGATTAAAACCAAATGTCAGTATGGTTGAACTATATTGGTAGGTTTCCATTTCAACCCAGCATTCCTAAATCCACCAGCCTCGCTCCACTGCTGCTGCAGCCAAACTGAGCTGAGCAGCGTGAAGTCTTTCCAGCACTGAGAAGATCTCTGGTACGATGTTTGATAGAGGACACTACACGATTAGTAAACCTAACCAGAACAGTTGAGATCTTCTCATCCATGTTTTATTCTGTGAGGTTTCTGCTGGTTCACCAGTCAATAAAAATATACAGTTCTAAATCAAGTGACAGAAAATTATTCCTCAACAATTTTGATGACCGATTAATCAACCAAGAAAAAATGTAGAAATTTGCTTCTTAAATTCGTTTTGGACAGTTCTTTGACAAAACAAGCAATTTGAACAGCAGATTCATTGAAAAATAATTGTTAATTGTGCCACTAAATAAATAAGAAATACTGTTAAACTTTGCCTTCCAGATTCCGTGTGAGTGTTCGTGCTTCTGTCCAAACCACAGCCGGACTGATGCCTATCTGTCAAGGCATAAAAATTAAACATCCTCTTCTGAATGGCTTCCTTCCTCCAGCTCTTCTGGAATGGCACGGTGATATGCTCCCAGTTTACCGTGGGAAACATCATCTCTTCTCTCTACTCGGGGTCTTTAATGAACATCAAATTAAAGATTTCAATTCAGCTCTATTTAGGAGGGAAAAAATACACCCTAAAATTAATCAGTCAACACTGCAAAAACACAGCATTTCATTACATCCTCCAAACCACCACCATTTTGTAAACAAAGGTGACTCAAAGGTGATTCATGCCTTTAATAGTGATCCACAGTGCACGCTAGGGGTGCCTTTCAAACAGCTCTTTATTTTATCGTGAAACCCTTTAAACCTCATCAGATCGACACAAATAGCTGAACACATCACACAGACCTGGACTAACTAGAGGCTAATTGTGTGACGCAGAGAATTATAGACCTTCAACATATTGCATTTATTTTACTCTTATGTTCTCCACAGCAGATATGGTATAATTAGTTTCTATTTCTATGACTAATCTAATCAACGTGTGTAGTTCATGTAAGTTGAATCAAATAAGCATGGGTGTGTGTTCCTAGCATATGTAATGGGAAGACACAGCTGGTTAGAATTAAAGGCCCCACTGACACACACTGAAAAAAAAAGCTAACGGTCCGAAGCGAGATGAAAATACTGCTGTGGAGGGAGCGACTCTAAAAATACCGGGCAGGGCTGCAATTAGTGGTGTGTGTGCTGAGCAGCTGCTGCGGTTCAGGGCACTAAGTGTCTCTAATTACTGCAGTGTGTGTGTGTGTGTGTGTGCTGATATGAGCACGCCCAACAATCAGGGGTGTCCTGTCCTTAGTATCTCTATTTACAATGCATTCTGTGTGTGTGTGTGTGTGTGTGTGTGTTCGCCAAACCCCAGTGACCAGAGCTGTTTTGTGTCCCTGTGGGGTTCCACAAGGACACACACTGCGCTGGTGTTTCGGTTTCATGTTTAGATTTGTTGAAGGGGTGTGTGTGTGCGCGTGTGTGTGCGCGCTGTTAGCTCACCTCATCATTTACATATTGTTCTTTAAGAGGACGTGTTTCTGTGGCGTTTTTTTCCAGTCAGTGTGTTCTTCAAGTTTTTGCTTCTGTTGGTTATAATCAAAGGTTTGGCAGAGTGAAGTGGAGCATCACGTCTTCCACTCTGTCAATAGAAGCTGTCGGGATGCCTTTAAGCAAGGCATGTCACCTTCATCTTTTTCAGTGGTGTGTGATGCAGCATGTTGGCGAAAAAGAGCGCACAGGCCTCATAAATCTTCTCTGGGTGAATAAAGTGCAGAACTGGTGCATAGTTAAACCTGGTAGGGAACATTTATACTGTATATATTTATTTATATTCCACTCTGCAGGTTTCAGGACATAAAGTCATGTTTCATCTTCTGTGAGAAAGAGTGGAAATATGCGTCTCCAGTGGTTGGATGTAACTAAATAAATTCACTTAAGCATTGTAGTTAAATACAGTTTTGAAGTATTTGTACTTTACTTTAAGTATTTGTACTTTACTGAACTTGTAAGGAATAATTTTGGGAAATACACTGATGAGTTGGATGAGATGAATACCACCCTGCAGGTCTGCAGGACAAAGCCAGCAGCTGGTTAGCTTAGCATGAAGACTGGAAACAGGGGGAAACAGCTAGTTTGGCTCTGTGTAACTAAATCCACCCAACAGCACCTCTTAACCTCCGTAATTAACTCTTTATATCACATTTTATTCATTTGTAGAAAAACAAAGGCTGGGCTCCAGACAGTGACTGTGTTAATTAGTGAGCAGTAAAGGTGCATGTAGGTTGATTTTACTGTTTCCAGTCTTTATGCTAAGCTAACTGGCTTCTGATGGTAGCTTCATATTTAGTGTGGAGATTAAGTGATATCAATCTTCTCACTAACTCTCAGCAAGAAAGCAAATAGGCATATTTCCAAAAAATGTTTTAATATTCCTTCACGTATTTCCATGTTATGTTTCAGAGATAACTATTGTACTTTTTACTCCACTAGTTTTCTGATAGATATAGTTACTAGTTACTGAATTAGCTTATAAAATGTTATATATTGTTATAGATTAAACTACACAACAGTAGGACTATATGCCATTTCACTTTGCTTCACCCCTGACAGTATTCCTGTTTATATATTAACCATCACCAATAAACATAAAAGATAAACATAAACACTCAAAGGGGGCATTTTCTGCATAATGACTACTTTTCCTTTTGTTACTTTTACATTTATCTGGGGATTTTTACTTCAGTAAAGGTTTCAGTGCTGGAGGTGTATTGGAGTATTTTTACATAGTTGTATTGCAAGTTAAACGCCTGAATGCTTCTTCCACCACTTCCCTTTGTGTCCCTTTCATTGACTCATCTTCCAGTGAGCTCATCTCCTCGACACCTTCACACTCGTCACATTTTCTCTTCTTACATCTGCTTTAAACTAAAACTTTTCCCATCTGATTCCTCTCACTCCTCTCTCTCAGACTCTGCAACTAAACTGGCAAGTGAAACTTTTTGACTTGACTTTAAATATTATTCCTGCTCTGTTGTTGTTCCAGATTATAGAACGTTTTTATTCCATCACTAAAAACTTTTTTTTCTTTCATTACAGTACTTCTTTGGAAGTTTTTTAAATGTAATTTTAGGCTTCATCACTTTATCAATATAAAATGTCCAAGTTGTCTTCATATTTCTTGTTTTATCCAAACAGTACTCCAAATCACAAAGATATTATATATTTAAGATCATATAAGACTCAGAAAGGCCCCTCTCCAAAGGGTCACCCGATAAATCTCAGGGGTCGTGAAATGATTAATGGAAGATTAAAGAAATAAAAAGTAAAAGTTCTGCTGCACAAATATGTTTAAACTTGTTGAATGTTTCTCTAATCTTTGCTGTCTTCTGATTTATTGAATATTTTTACCTCTTTCGGCCTCAAATAGAAACCATCTGAGACGTTCAGAGGGTAAATCATTCTTAGGTGGAACTGTTAATAACTGAAACATGACAAGAGTGAAGTAAAAACTACAATATTTCACTCTGAAATGTGCTGGAGTGGAAGTATAACGTAGCACAAAATGGAAATACTCAAGTAAAGTACCTCAAAATTGTGTAAATGTAAATTTGATAACATTCCTCATGTGCCAGATGTCAGTTTTAAGACAAAAAAAAATCAAACATTATCAATCTTCAAAGTCTTCATGGTGGAGTTGTTGTGTAGTCAGTTATTTGCTCGTATCTTCTCTCCATGAAATGTCCTATATCTAGAAATGTCTCTCTCTCTCTCTCTCTGTGCAGTGGAGCAGGAGCGTGACCTCCTGCAGCCTCGTCCGTACTGGAAGGAGTTTCGTTTTGATCTGACGCCCCTCCCTCAGGGTGAGACAGTGACGGCAGCAGAGTTTCGTATCTATAAGACCCTGACGATGGGCCAGAGGGCCAACCGAACACTGCACATCTCTGTCTACGAGATCCAACGAGAGAACAAACACAGGTTACTTCTAACTTACCTCTTGTTTATGTGTTTTTACCTGCTGTTTTTTTCTCTTCTTGTTCACTATCTGTTTTTAGTTTTGTTTATTTGAAGTTATTGGATGTTTTATCTGAGCCTTTGGGAAATCCCCCTTAAGCCTTCTTTAGCATTTTAATGTTTTTACTGTTTGTACTTTAACAATTTAGTATTACAATTCCATTACATTGGTGTACATGCAAGAGATGTACTAAACGCTAGATCTCTAATAACTAATAAAATAAAAATTAAAAAGATTTATTTCATTCATTCTGATCCAAAATACACTAGTGGTGTTGCCTAGTAATTAAGGATAGGATCCTTAAAGCCCTGATGCACTTGACGATTTGACAGTGGGACAGCCCGAAGCCCTCATGGACTCGCCGGTGAACACGCCTTAAAGTCCATTAGTGTAAAGATTGTCTACATAGGCTGAATCCCAAAGTGCAGCGGGGATCGAGAGCACTGCATCTTTGCAAACAGACAGTGCCAGCTTTTATTTTGAAAGGGTGACCAATGACAAATTTGTACAATCACTTAAAAATGTGTGTCAGGTGTGTGCTTACCTCTGTTTCTGTGGACATCTAGGATCTACTCATAGCCAATTTAAGAGACCTCTGGACATCTTTTAAATTTAAGTATTGCCTGAATATTTTATTTGAAAGTTTCCAAGTAGAAATAAAACTGAATGTTTGTTTTTTTATTACCTTAAGCAGGACATCAGTAATATTATTTCAATTTAGCAGTTTGATCAAATTTCCATTATTTTCTGTCTTTCCCTCAGAGAGCCAGAGCTGGTGCTGCTGGATATGCAGTCGGTGCCTGCAGGACAGGAAGGTTGGCTGGCCTTCGACGTCACCTCAGCCTCCAACCACTGGCTCCTCCACCCACGCAGCAACCTGGGCATACGTCTTTATGTGGAGACAGAGGAGGGTGGGTGCACCACAGAACCATCATAATCCTCTTTTAATTTCAACCACTGGGCGATTTGCATTAAGATGAATTGAAATAGTTTAATTTAAATAAGGTCAGCATATACAGGTGCTGGTCATATAATTAGAATATCATCAAAAAGTTGATTTATTTCAGTAATTCCATTCAAAAAGCGAAACCTGGATATTCTATTCATTCATTACACACAGACTGATATATTTCAAATGTTTATTTCATTTAATTGTGATGATCAAAACTGACAACTAATGAAAATCCCAAATTCAGTATCTCCGAAAATTAGAATATTACTTAAGACCAATACAAAAAAAGGATTTTTAGAAATGGTCGTCTTTTGGGCAGCTGTCAAGTCAGCAGTCTTCCCCATGATTGTGTAGCCTACAGAACCAGACTGAGACCATTTAAAGGCCTTTGCAGGTGTTTTGAGTTAATTAGCTGAGTGTGGCACCAGGTGTCTTCAATATTGAACCTTTTCACAATATTCTAATTTTCTGAGATCCTGATTTTGGGGTTTTCATGAGTTGTCAGTTATAATCATCAAAATTAAATGAACACTTGAAATATATCGGTCTGTGTGGAATGAATGTATACATTTATACAAGTTTCACTTTTTGAATGGAATTACTGAAATAAATCAACTTTTTGATGATATTCTAATTATATGACCAGCACCTGTACTGTCTGTTTCCTCTCCCAGACCGCTCCCTGTCTGCAGGCTGGATCGGGTTGGTGGGACGCAGGGGCCCTCGCTCCAAACAGCCCTTCATGGTGACTTTCTTCAGGGAGAGTCAGGTTCCCTGTCGGCCGCCACGGGCTGTCAAGCCACATCCCCGCAAGAAGAAACCCAAATACGACCTCCCAGTCCCCAGCATCCATAGTTAGGTTCCCAGCCCCCACATTTTGTTACTTCAACACACCAATTATCTCCTGTTGTTTTGTGTCTTACAAGGTTTTGGGATTTAAAATGTTTTAATCTGGTGAATTGGAAATCATCTGTCATGGATTTAAATGTCCTTAAGAAAATTCGACTACTTTTTACATTGCAGATAATTAATTTAAATTAAAGGAAATTTTGCTGAGATGTGAAGTATTGATGGTGAAGTTCATCAATGTAAAACCTTAAAATATTGAAAGTGTGGTCCGAGCACTTAATGGATTTATTGATTTCACTTTGATCACTTTTATCACATTGAAGTGAATTATTCAGTGGCTTTGATTTTACTAAATGTTTTTTCTTTCCTGTTCAGATCGGAGTCCTGCCAACAGTGGAGGTCAGCCCTGTAAAAAACACGAACTCTACGTCAGCTTCAGTGACCTCGGATGGAAGGTCAGCTCCACTCTACTGCATTTATTTAACAGTCAGGATTTTATTAGTGAGGCTTCAGGTCAATTTAGCTCTTTTCATCTAGTTTTATTTTTCTACATCTTTGTTCAAGCTGCTTTTTAAGAGGAGGAAAAACATTATTTAGTGGAGGATTTGTTGACTGGAGCTAAAATGATTCCTTACATCACCATGTGATAGATACAGATCAGTTAAACATGTACCATTGATGTTTAGGGGAAATCTCTCAATAAGTTGTTCTTAAAGTTGATTTCTGAAATGAGCCATTTTGCTTTAGTACTTTTCATTCTTTAAGTATATTTTGATGGTAATACTTATGTATTGTTAAGTATTTCTTTCTGACGGCTTCTTCCAGTATGAAGAAGGTGTCTCTCTGTTTCTGTTCTGCAGAATTAACTTCTAACCAATTTTAAAAAACCTTTTACATATACAAGTATTTTATGTTTATCTTCAGCACTTGCGCAGTTTGATGAATACAGGCCCATGTCTATGATCCTTCCTTATTTTCTGGTGGTGGTGATATTTAATAGATGACAAATAACATTTGATTTTTCTGCCTGTTGCTGTTGATCATCAAATATATTCCTTTGGTTCTGCTCAGGACTGGGTTTTGGCCCCCACTGGATATTCAGCATACTACTGTGACGGAGAGTGTTTTTATCCTCTGGGCTCCTGCATGAATGCCACGAATCACGCCCTCATCCAGCAAGTGGTCAGTATATAAAAAGTACAGTGATGACACACACATTTACACTCTCTTTCTTCTCACAAAGAAGATAGTAAATAAGAACGTACCACATGCTGCAGTACTATTAGAGAAGTAATCATCTTCTCTATCTGTGGGCTACGCTGCTTTGTACAGTATTTTGAACAGTTATTAAATTTTTACATGATTATGTCAGGGACATGGATATCTGCCGCATTACCTTCAGTTCTGTTCAGTTTTTTAACCCATATTGTTTTCTTAAAATATTATGCACAAATGTTTTATAATTCAGCACTCAGTGGTGGAATGTAAATACATTACAAAAAAAAGGTGTGTCTAGTTTGGGCCCCTTGCTGTGTTACAAAGAGAGATTTCCCCTCTAAATGTCTAATTTTCAGCCTATTTTTAAACCTGGGCCCTATTTTCACATATTTCGGTGTTTAAATGACTAGTAGCTACAAAAAGTTTTGGAATGTGTGCAGTAGATGGCTTTCAGCCAGAACCTGCAACATGTTCCTTTGGGGCAACCGCGCCTGTCACAACGTCCACAAAAAGAGCCGCTTTTTGCACCCGCCGGGCTCAGACTGTTACCAGGTGTCTGACATCATGGAAAGGATCTCTACAATTAATACCCGGTGACACCCTTTGTTTTAACAAGAAACAAAAGCCTTGCTCAGGGACAAGATGACAGTGAGTCAGGGTTGGAGAGAGGACTTTGTTGTGTTGGAGTAACGTTAGGAAATAAAAGTCTTGCTGGCAGTTCCTTTATGTACACAACAAACTCCTCTCTGACTCATGTTTCCACCAGCACCTTCCTGCAACGACTCACCTCTCACGAGATTTCAGAGTGAGAGTTGTCCCTGAGCGAGACTTCTGTTTCTTGTTAAAAACAAGACACTGGGAGTCACTCGTAGGGATCCTTTTCCATGATGTTGTCAGACACCTCAAACTCTGAACCTGCCGGTGGCAAAATTAACCACTTTGTGTGGACGTAATTTTGATGGGCACAGTTGCCCTGAAAGAATACGTTGCTGCAGCTGCCAATTGAAACGATCTACTGCACGGATTACAAATCCTACAAGTCATTTTGACACCAAAATGTGAAAATTATCCTTCAAGTAGGATTTTGAATGCAGGAGTTGTTGTATTGGTTATTTTACTTAAATAAAGGACTTGAGTACTTCTTCCACTGCTTGGTGCAAATGCCTATTGTAATTATTAACTGTTTCACTCTCCTGTGGCAGGTCCACCTCCTGAAGCCCGATGAGGTTCCAAAGGCATGTTGCGCCCCCACAAAGCTCAGCCCCATCTCTGTCCTCTTCTATGACGACAACAACAATGTCATCCTCAAGAAACATCGTAACATGGTGGTTAAGACCTGTGGGTGTCAATGAGAGTCGAAAGGCGTAGCCTAGGACACTGAAAAGAGAGTTCAGTCCACAACCAAACTGACCTGGATGATTTTCTTCCAGACATGAACTTTGCAGAAACCTTTGACAATGGACAACAAAGGTACCACAAATCTAATTTAACAGGTCTGTGCCTTGAGTGCTGATTTAGGATCTGTGACTTAATTGTTTTTCCCAAATCCATTTCCCAAATTGCAAAGTCTTGAAATTACAGCATCTTGGGTATTTATGTCCCAATTCAGTTGTGCCTCAGCACTCGATAGCTGAAGGTTATTCTGCTGAAATGTGAGTCTATACAAGTTAACCTTTGACCTGAAATGTATGGCCATAATAGACAACCCCCCCCCCCCCGGAAGTATAAATGTTATTTTAATACATTCACTTTTCCTCAAATGTCTGCCTTTCTCAACAGTGACAAACCACATGTGATTTTATAAATTGATTCAGGTTTAAATGGCAAATGATATTGGATGGCAGAACATGCCTACAGTGATGCCTGTTTTGTTTTTTTTTAAACAAGAAATTTAATGAGAGCACTACTATTGTTGCAACATAAAGTTAAACTGTATTGAATTAATAAAAAAATATTCATTTTATTGTATCACGCTTCCATGTGATGTCACTTTGATCCTGTTAGGCAAAAATAAAAATCAGCTGAGAAGCCCGAAGCACCTTTAAATACATTGTTCAATTTATTGAAGAAAAAAAAAAAAAAGAAAAAAAAGTACAGCAAAAGCAAATTAGTGAAGTTTTGCCAGCAAGTGAATATATTTAGAAACTAAAACAGGGATTCATTTTGGCAGTTAATGAACAAATTTCTTTAACGCTCAGTCCTTTAGGCAACTTACAGTTTCTTCAATCAATGAACAACCAAACTGACAACAGCTGAAAGTATAAATGAGCAGAGAGCTGTGTATATGTTAGAGGAAGTTTAGCCAAAATAATGTTAGCGCTTGGTTTTCAAAACAAATCTTCGTTGCGGTTTAACTGTAAGTGGGATAAAGATGATGTTATTGCCAAGATTGTGTTGGGAAATGTGGCCGACGACACAGAAATGAGCTGAAGTAGAAGGATTTGGGGGAACAAAAAAGAACATAGTATGAGACTTGCTGTGTGGTTTAACGTGAGGTACTGTTGTGAGGTGTTATTGAGTGCGGACACCTGTGGAGCAGCAGCACAGAGGAGGCGTAGCTGTAGAGTCTCTCTTGTTTGACAAAATACATCAATCTCCAAAAATAGTTTGAGGAAGTCATATTCTGCATTTTATCATCAACAACCATAAATTCTGAAATTACACAAAGGGATTTTTGTCATTTTAAGACGCTAATGGTCATGAAAACTCTTTAATTTTTACTTTCTAGGGAGAGTATGCACTGATGACAAAATGCAAATACCCTCTGCTCAAGCGAAGGGAACATAACCGGAGTTTAACCCAACAGCAGTGCCACATCCATTGTGCATGAGTGATGTATTCCTCTGTTTAACGAAGTACAACCAGCTGTTAGCTAGCCATACATCAAAAATATTTGTATTAACTTCCCATTGTAGCTTTTTCATGTCTCCCACTCATTAGTCACAAGATAATTGTATTCAGTGTAAGCAGGCGATGTTGTTGGCCCCTCCCCCATCTGGAATAACAAGGTAGTTGTACATAATAAATATAAAAATGGGGTGCTGGTATACTTGTGCCCCGTTGTTACGGTTTCCCCTTCTACAAACACACATGTACGTACACAGCACATCCACACCCTCCCCCTCCATCCCCACATGTTGTCCATGAATACAGACGGGTCCCAGTGTTCGTCATCAACATCCTTCAGGCGCCGTGTCAACGTTTAGTCCGTGGTCAATGTGTATCTGTAACCAACAGTTTTTTGGGGGGTTTTTTAGTATTATGTTATTAGAGGGAAAATATTAACTGAATTAGCAAAAACCCTCAGTAAGTGTTTACTTTTGTTCATCGTACAAAAAGTAGAGAGCTGACTAAAGTTTGGTGAAATTAAAAAGCTGTTTCTGATCTTATTTTGGTTGCACCTTGATAACATCAAATCTACAAGGACACAGAATTTACAAACTTTAAGAGGTTTCATAAATAGCAGTTTAAGAGGAACAACCACAGCTTACAGAGAGTACTACAGTCAGCCTTACCCAGGTCCAGTTCAGTCACCAGTTCTTCATGCCTGAACATCTACCAGCTCAGGAGGCATGGGAGACTTGGGGTGTTTGCTCTCAAAGTGCTGCTTGAAGGTTTTGGGGTCAGGCATCTGTGTCTGAAAAAGAAAAGAGAACCATGGTTTCACTTTATTTTATAGTCTCAACTACAAATCCATTGATTGACAGAAAACTAATTTGCAGCTATTTGGAAAAATCTATTTCTGCAGCCTAAATCTGAGGATTTGCTACTTTTCTTTGTCATTCATGGGTTTTGGTTGGATTAAACAAGGAATTTGCAGACGCCACCTTGCATACTGTAATATTAAAATTTCTCAATATCTTCCGCACTGTTTCCCCATTAATTACGGTCTACAGCGGCCCACCACAGTCTAATTTGTTCTGTCATAGCTTCAAAATGAAGTATTTTTACACTTCTCATTAGAACATCAAAGACCTCTAATATTACGTTTTGCGCTGCTGTAAGCTTTCATGCTCACACTCTGGCATCTGACTTGAGACAACCACTTTTCTTATAACACAACATCGTTTGAGGTTAAGTACTGTAACGTAAACTAAGGGTTTGAACATCTTCGAGTGTATCCACCTAAATTTTGAGTGCACACGTATTCGGGCATTTATGGAAAGTGTACAGCTGACAGGTGGCGTTAGGGACTTAATTTTCTCATGTTACAAAGGCAAGTCTTGAAGTATGAGAGTCTTACCTGAAGAGGCTATGAAGTCATAAGTTGTAAGCAATACGAGCACCACGTAATTTATCAAACTCCGTCGGACTTGGGGAGCAACGCGAGGGATACACATGTGACAAAGTCCGGTTTACCCCTGGACACCCCCAGAACCTTTACTTGTGAAAACTTAAGATACTCAGATAATGAAAACAAAATTTAATTACAGCGCTCCAGCAAATTTCCCTCTACATGATGTATCAACTGGTGTTTTCTACATTGCTTTGAATCTCAAATAGATTGCCGTTTAGAAAATCCTTCAAGCTACAACTATAGCAGTATTCAGCTGTAGGTAATATCTCATATTGTACTTACCCGGCAGACAGGGCAGGTATGGACCAGTGCGGCCTTAGCTGCAGTCTTCTGGTCAGCGGCCTGGCCTTTCTTCTTCTCTGCTGCCTTCTTGGCGTTCTTTTGCTGGGACTGAATCTTCTGCTGCCCGCGAGCCATGGCCCTCAACTGTGACAGGAATAAAAAATAAAAAGACCAGATTATCTACCTGTGTAATTTCTGTGGCCCAGGTCTAACATTGCACCTTTTGTTTGCTCCCAGAATGAGATATAAATGGTTATAACTAAATGCAGGGTGAAAAATAAACAGCAGCGGGAACATGTAGGATGTGATAAGCTAGTTTAATGTGACACATTTGTTAAAAAAATTGTTTGCAACACAGCTGCCCCCTGTAGACAGCTCTGTATGCTTCCGGTAGGCCCTTAGTTCAGTTTCAGATAAATCTTAATATTTTAGACAAAAGTGTGATTCCAACTTTTTGGAAACAGTTTGAAGAAGACCCTCTCCTGTTTAAACATGACAACGCATCTATGTACAAATCCAGATCCATAAAGAAATGGTTTCCACAGTTTGGTGAGCCCTGATCTCAACCCCATCCAACTAAAAGCTTGTGCAGAATACACGACTTTCAGCGTTGGCCGATCGCCGTCCTACAACACTACACGAGCTGACGTCGTCTGTCACCCGACGGCTGGTCTCCAAACCACGTTTTGTCAAGAAAACGTTAAAGATAAACAAAGCCTTTAAAGAACATGGATAAAATAATTAACTGGCACACGCAGGTAGCAGGTATTGTCTGAGCTACAGAGAGCTGGAGGGGAGTTCAAAGTGTTTTGTACTGAAAAAGTAGTTGCCTGCTCTACCGAGACCATGTCTCTCATTGGCTGGATGTGGATGTTGAGCTGGCAGACTCCTCCAGATATTCAGCATGCTAGGTATCTGGCTGTCGTCGGCGATGTGTCGGGGGGCCGATTGATACGTTGTTTAGTAGTTCCCACATAATAACAGGTGACCGCCAATCGAATGCTGATTTACCCCTGATCACAGCCTGACGGTCACTGAGCTCACCGACCTGCAAATCGGGCTTAAAATCGTGTAGTGTGAACTAGGCTTAACTTTGGGATGAACCGGCACGCCGACAGTGAGCTAGACCTCATCACCAAACATCTGTATTAGACCTCACTAATGCTCTCACGAACATACGGTGGTCGTACCAGAAGAGTGGAAGCAGCAGATTTTTACCACATACTTTGCCCACAGAGTGTAGATTGTTTTGGTTCAGTAGACACTGTTCACTAAACAAGAGCATCATTTAGGGTTCAGCTGATTATATAACTGTAAATACAAAAGATACAATAAACATTTTACAATCACAATTGCTTTTTAGATATGTTGCTTTGTCTGCCAGTCCAAGCACAAAAGATTTTCAGTTTACTATCACAAAAGTTAAAGACAAACAGCAAATAAATCCTCAAAATGAAACAGAATTTTTGTTTCTGCTTGAAAAATTACCAACAATCGAAAAAACTATCAAAATAATTTTAATAGTTAATCGTCCAACTATTTCAGTTCTAGTGCTGTTGAATTTTTAATCGCACTGTCCTGAGGTGTTTAGTGTCAAACCCACTTGTATCAATAAGGGTCAGGTAAAGAAACACATTACCAATGTAACGTTAGCTCAGTGTACGGTGTAAGAGACCTTCTTGTGTCGTCTTACAAACGTTATTATGATATATCATTACAGGTTTTATTTCACAAAAATCAAGTGACTCATTTACTGCATAAGGTCATACGAGATCAAATTATTCACCCAATGCCAAACGATACATAGGCTAACGTTACATTAGCAAAATGAACTAAGCTAACGTTAGCATTAGCGTTATCTTTGACCTGGTGAACGTTGCCTTAATCACAAATACACAATTTGCTTAGACTGGCTGCTTTTAAGGCTAACTAGGTTACTTTTGAATGCTTTAACTCGATTTCTCAACACACCGGCAGCGACTTTAACTAACGTTAGCTAACGTTAACTTACACTTAGCTATGCATGCTACAAGTTAAAACACCGTTAACGTTTCCATTAAGTCATCAGCGTATTTGCTATTGATTAACTGCAACGTATTGATAGCTGGACTACGATATCCCCGGGATACACATCTGCCCTTGTTTCAAAATACAACTTGTTTAAAACAAGCAGTTTAATTGTTAGCACCGTCCAAACAGGCCTTTCGCAACCGGCGCCGCCTCGCTAACACTGTTAGCTAGGCTAGCTGAGGAAGCTAACATTACATGTGACTCCGCGTTAATACGCTATTCAAGATTCTTGGGAGTATTAAAAAAAACAGTTTCGAGTACAAACACTGTTAGATCATACCAGCATATGTTGTAACTGTTAAACAGTAATGTATATTTTCATTTTTAGACGGGTTTACCTTCGAGATTTGACTCTCTTCACTCTTTTGTCGGTCTCTTTTTTTTTTGAATGCCAGAGGAAACTTCCGTATCAACTTAAATCCTGCTAGAGAAACGAGCAGCGCCCCCAGCGGCCGGGAGCCGAGCTGCAGCTTTAAGGGCGATAGAAACTCTTCTCCCAGACAGTTGTTTCTGGGAAGATAGCGGTTTCGGCAACCTCAATGTATTACAATTTCACCAATATAGACTGCACTTTAGGCAACAAACAGCCTAAATAAAGGATTCAGAATTTCTCCACTAGAATTGTAGTGCTTAAATCTCAACATGTTACATGTTCATGTTTCAAAATAAAACTTACAAACCACATTGGTAAATAGTTAACTGAATAAAACTTATTTCCAGTTGTGATTGTTGTAATTATATAAATAATTAAAGACACAACAAGAGCACTGGTAAACTCACAAATGGAGAAAAAGGGCATGCATTAATATACAATGTTTATAGATAGATTGTTTATAGGCTGCATTAAGAAATTCTCACAGATCAATTGATTTATTTGACTGTCTTTATTGTGGTATTTTAATAGGGTACAAGAACACTTTCTCAGAACTCTGTCAAACTGTCATAATTTCAATTCAGCCTTAATTTTTACCTTTAATTTGTTGTTCATCTGTTTCAATTCTTAAAATATATATATATATATAGCTATCCAAACAGTATATAAAGTAAAAAAAGAAGTCCCACTTTTAAAAGCTGCAATATTAGAGTAATGTACACATTAATGCATTATTTTTTATAATTCAACAATATGATATACAGTATATGCATAATTAATACTTTTGGCACCTTTACTTGTAGTATTCTGAATACTCTACACTGTAGCATTGCTACTTTTACTGAAGTATGAGATCTGAGTACTTCTTTAATTTAAACAGGTTTTGTTCCACAAATGAAGAGAAGCTTTTCTTCACAGTTCGCATCACCCCAGAGGAGGTTATCTAAGAAGCAGACGACAGAAGGATTTTGGAAGTTACTACAGTTTTTTTCTGCCAAGAGTCAGTTGAATTCATAAGTGAGCTGGTTATTCAGGAAACACAACATTACTGTACCTGGTTGGTTCATCACAAGACATTTCTCAGTGCATCCTAAATTGTTAGGCTCGCCTAGGCTCCAATCCTGGAAATAAAACCCTGAACCATCACTCCAAAGCCAAACAAAGTCCTGTAAAACATACAGAATTAATTACTATCAAACACATTAAAGACAGCAACAACTCAAAATAAGTAATCCCATCCGGTAAAATGTTATGAGAAGGAACAAATTTTAGACCACTGCATTATCACCTCACATTAAAAATAAACTCAATCAGCCTCTAAAAAGTTTTTAGATTTCTACCTTAATAGCATCACTGCCACCGATCCAGGCTCGAGGAAAACGATTTGTGGCCCCTCTCAAAATCTCCTGGATGAATTGGTACTCTCCCAGGTTGTGGATGGATGCGAGATTGGCACCATTACGTATACAATGTTTCTGTAAATAAAAAGAGCTCTTAATGCAGACTGATATAGGATGACCCCTTTTTGTTCTCTGGACACACAAATATCTGGTTTGAGAATGAAACCATTATGATTTATGAAATGTATAGTTGAGTGTGGGTGTATACCTCTGCGTCTAACCAGGACAATTCTCTGTGGACTAACATGAAACATCTGGATCCATATTTGGACCAGCCGGATCGGCAGCTGCTCTGCTTGACATGACCAAAAGTCACTTCTACAACTTCGTCCACAGGCAGCTGATCCTTCTGTTCTGTCTCATCTAATATCTGAACCGACATGTTTTCATCTGGTAGGAGACAAATGATTAATTTACTGATGATCATAGACTGGTTCTTTTCGTTTAATCCATTTTGTTTAGTCAAAAAACAGCAAGAAAAATCAGTCAGTGTGACTGTAAAGTTGTTGCATTCTCTTTACTTCCCTTACCTGCATGTATCTTCTGAGTCGCTGCCACCTCCTCTACTGGCTCTATTGTGGAAACAAAGTAAAACTGCAGTTAATTGTCTAAAAAAGGGACTTCTCAGGCTTGCATTTTGGGGTACAAGGATGACAAGATGCACCATCATGCTCAAATCAAAACAAAAGCAAAGTTAGGCCAGTTATGCAACAGTTATGGCGTTTCAAAAGGTTCGATTTTAATCATATTAACGTACACATTTGGAGGCTGGAAACAGTTGATGTGTTCAGTGTTTTGTTAAGTCTCACCTGTTGCGATGCTCAGAGCAAAGGCGGCACAAAGAAGCAAAATGATCCTCATTGTTTACACTGATAAGCTGCTGAAATATAAGTCAAATAATGAATCGTCAAAATCTAGATATGCTGTTATTTTTCAAATGCATAAAACCCCAAACCTCTAAGCAGAGTGTCTGCAGGCTCTCTGAAGCTGCAGAGGGAAGTGCACTTTATATACTAGGAATACAACATGGAAACAAGGATACAAGGAATTAAAAATGAGCAGCTGATTTACTGACCGTCATTGTCAATGGAGTTTGATCTCTTTGGTCATATCATCCCAGTATGAGGACAGTAAAGACATTATCACGCCCAGAACTTCATCAACACTGATTTGTGTACTGATCAGCAGAACAGCATCAAGATAAAGTCTCATGGAAACTAACATTCATGTTTCAGACATGACAGTGACAGTGATGCTACTTAACTTGCTAACACACAATACACTGTATGTGCTTTGTGTTTAGAGTGCATGGAGAAATTAAATCTCATCTCGAAGAAAACATGAATGTGAGTGAGAAAGTAGGTAAAGTTAATTAATATAGTACCTTTCACAGCTCAAGGGCACAAAGTGTAAAGTGCAAAATGTAAAAAATAAAACCATCAAAAAAAGTTAAGAAACAACAATAAAACATAAGCAGCCACATCGCAAAACAGCATAAAATAACCAAACAATAAAGTATAAGCAATAATCGACCTTAATAACACACAAGATTGCACACGTTAGACAGCACAAGGCAAGACAAATGCCAGTTTGAACATAAGAGACGTACGGTCACCTTTTGTTTCCAGTCCTATTTAGAACATGGGGTACTTCATGTGCACTTCAGCCTCTTGTGGCCAAAGTAAGTATTATAACAACAAACACATAATCAAAAAAGATCCTGACAAGAATTTTTGTGAGCAAAATATGCTTCAACTTCTTTTCACAAATGATAAAAAAGAAACATAGAAAACTTATCCTGGCAAAACTTTTTTTAACTTGTCATTGGTGTAATTAGTTGAAATGGCTTAACTTTATCGCACTGTTAACACAATTATTTATCAGTTTTCTGTAAGTGACCAAATGATAAGAAGAAGTAGAAGCAGAAGTAATACCAGTCTGGGTCTTAAAAACAAGTTATCAGTGTGTTTTATTGGTTTATGAAAACTTGTCTTTCAGATAAACTTTACCGACTGATTTATATATGACATAGATAAACATTAAAGGAGGTCACATGTATCAGTCAGAATAATAGTAGCTGAGCAATATATGAGCTATATGGCCATTTCATGTCAGCAAATAATTTATTTTTGATGAGATGAATACATTTTCCTGAGCAGCATTTTCCTCTCTGCTGAATACAGATGAGGTTTTCTAAACTATGTGTTTCACTACAGTTAATCCTTTTGTTTTGTGAATATTATTGCAGTACACAAGGTAAAAGTCCCAACCCACCTGCTCACACCCTTAATCTTGCTCTGCCCTCAATTAAAAGCAGTCCAGTAAGATTGTTTATCAGTTTATTTACTAGATTGTCAGGACAACAGCAATAACAAGGTAAAATAGTTCAGAACATTACATGTGTTTTACTGAGCGATTTTTTTTAAAGAGATATTTATAATTTCATGAGATGTGACATAATTTGCTTATTCATCATATATATTAAACTTTCATTAAAAGATTTAAGTTAATTGATGAAACAATTCAATTTTATTTATGTAGCGCCAAATCATAACAACAGTTATTTCAGAGCGCTTTTCATAAAAGAGCAGGTCTAGACCGTACTCTGTGATGTTATTTAAATAGAAACCCAACAAGAGAAAAAGAGAGCTGAATCTACGTATTTGTTCCACCAGCATTTGTAAGACAGTGATTTTCTTTTTCAATGTTTCTTTTGTTCAATGTGAAAAGTTTTATGTCAATGTTCTAATGAAATTGGTATCATACTATTGCACAGGAAGTTACATTAAAATCTCCATCTGACTCAGTGTTTTACATTACATTTTAAGAGAATTAATTATATTTATCTTTGCACATTGCACGTATTTTTTACACTGTGAAAATCTGCACATTCCTGTCAATATTTTGCACAATCCATCTTTGTTCATAACACTGTTAAATTAATCTGAACAGTTGGAAAACATCAGCCATGGTGAGACAAGTTCTTGGGAAAACAGGATTGTGGTCTCAAATGCAAGATTTTAATTAGGATGTCTGTGTCAGTTTGATGTGTAAAGAGAGCTGAAATCTTTCTGAACTCTCTCACTTCCATGACTAAATGTATAAATTCATGCATTTTAGAGATATAATGCATATGTTTACATAAATGTTCACAGATTAAAGTTACATCCCCACTCTACGTCTATACATACATACATACATACTAAAACAATAATAGCAATGGCTTTAAAGCAGTAATCTGGATGTAAAATGTATGCAACTGTACAGTCTTAAGCAGAGTCAAATCACTCAGTGTCTACAGGATGTGGAGAGAAGAGTGCTTATATACAGTAACAATAAAGAAATGAATATTTATTTTAAAGAATGTTATCATACTTCCAAAGTTCACTTATCTTATTGAGTGCAATTATCAATGAAGTTTGATCTCTTTGCCCACATTATCTGCATTATATTTCATGTTTCAAACAGCCTGATGTAGCCTATACTTTTCCATCAGTCCACGAGTCAGCACAAATTGGTTGGTGTGGTGATGCTGGGTTCACTTAAAGATGACATCCTGCAGACACCATCTTAATCACACCACAGTCTAGAAATTACACAGAGATGTGGTTGACAAAAAGAAAACGTAGCGATACCAAAACACGAATTTTACTCATACTGAATACTTTTGGATTTTACAGAATGTATAACTGGGATCAGGATATGTAGCTTGCTGTTGATGTGACCTGCCAAGGGGCTGCAGATCAAATTTAGCTTTAATTAGGTAGGCTACAGTACATCAAATGGTAAAAATGTAATATTGTCCCATTCCAAATTAACAGCTGTTCAAATAAACTTTTAATGACATCACGCTAAAACACAAAAGTACGGGGTATGTTAGGACTTGACCTCCTAACGTGGACCTAGACTTAACCGCTGATAAAAAACAAAAAGTATAGGCTAAAATCCTTTCTTAAATAAATTAGCAACACGCAATGTTAAATACTGTATTACAAGAAAGTTTCTCTGTAAAAAAAAAAAAATGTTAGAAAAAGTATTAGTTATTAGCTTTTATAATTGTTTTTGTCTTTTTATGTGTATTTTAATCTTTTGTGAAGCACATTGTAGTGAATATTCTTGTATATGTGCCCTATGAATACTTTATATTTATGTATTATTATAGCAACGTTTCATATTTAATAAGCTTATGGTAAATGGACTGCATTATATAGCACTTTTCTAGTCAACGACCACACATGCCAACATTCACACACACATTCATACACCGATGGCAGAGGCTGCCATGTCAAGAGCCACTGCTCATCAGGTGCAGTTAGGGGTTCAGTCTTTTGCTCAAGGACACTACAAAACTCTCTCTCTCGAACAAGGAACCTTCGGATTACTAGATTACCGCTCTAACTAGAGTAGAGCAAAAGATTTTATACATTTTTAACTGAAGAACAGAACTGATCCTCCACATTCTTCCTTGTTACTGCAAGATGGACGTGTGGTTAGTAAAAAAGTGTTTGTGGTAGCGGCTGCATACTTAGTCCATGAAAGTATGATCAACAATCTGCGTGTTGAAACTAATGACTCTATACTTTGATGGGCTGCGTGGGGGTCACCTGCTAAATATGCTTCTTTTGTCTCATGTGGCATTTTCACAGTACAGAGGCTTTCAAAAGTAGATGAGGCTCCAAAAAGTCCAGTTGGAAAATGTCAAACTGCTTCAAACCATCTGCCTGGAAAGAAATGCAATATTGATTGAACCTTACTGATGAAAGACACCTAGTCAAAAACAAGACTCTTGTGACTTCAGAGAAAGTTTTAATTTTCCAAATAATGATTATTGCATGTTAGAATTTTATACTTGGTACTGAGAGAGTTTCATTGTACTTATGGTCTCGTGCAGATTCTAAAAGACTGCACACACTTTAACTGCAGAATAGACGATGAAGCGACTTGTTTTATTTATACCAGTCACGTCTTCTTCCACAGACGAAGGGAAGGCTCACTTCACATCCTTCACGAGACACTGTTGGGATTAGAAAACAAAAGAGGAAAGTCTATTATTACTTTAGAAACATGTTTATTCCACCCGGTTAATCCTTTATGTAATATTTCTTGCCAAAATAGATTTAGTAACTGTACCTGAGGAACTTATTTTTACGCATTTGTTCCACCACCCCCACCACCAGTTGCATGGTAGGACTGGGTCCCAGCTACTGAAATCAAATTGTGAACCGTCACTCCATAGCCAATCACACCACTGTAACAACAAACAAAAGACAAGAAGCATGTAAATCACAGTATGCATTTTGTAGGGTATACGTCAAACATTTTAAAGACCCATATCAGTCAACTGAACTTCAAGACATAAGATGTAAAGCATGAAATACAAATACATTCACACTTGTGTTTGCATGTTACCCTAACGGCGTCATGGGCACCGATCCAGGCTTCGCCCTCTCTGCTGTTCTCTCTTACAGTTTGCCTGATCCATTGATAGTCCTCGTAGTTGTGAATGGATGCGAGGTTGGCACCGAAGGACAAACAATATTTCTGTAAAAGCAGAGATGAACGGCTCTTACTGTAGATACACAGAGGGCTATAGCAGTTATATTGGAAGTAAAATTTATATAATAATAGGTCATTTTTGTTTTCATTCTTTTGGGCTTTAAAAGGAAATGATGATGTGTCTTCAAACTGAGAAACTGAGAATCACTTTAAATGGAGAATCAGTGATTATGTGGAGTTATTACATTGTTGTTGGTTTTTATTTCAATTACATTTATTTTTGCTTCCTGATATAGTTTTAGTTATATTCTAGTTATATTTATTTTGTATATTATATTTTTTATATAAATGGACCTGCAGTATGTTTTTGTATTTGTCTTCTTTGTCTTTGCAGTTGTACCAGTGACACTGTTTATATTGGCAACAGAACACTGAAGAAAAAGAATATGTGCATGTTGAGTGGTCAGTGCAACATTCATGTATTTGATATTGTGTGTAGTTGGACTTTCATTGAACACCTGTGACTATCACTTGTAATTTTAGTGTGTAATGGTGTCCACTTGGCCAGCGGAGTATGTTTAATCAGTGGCAGTGGCAGCCTGGTGGCAGGAGCCTCCAAATGGACGTAAGAAGATATGTTCAGAAGACATATTTCATATTTACAGATGGATTTTGCATGAAACTGTCTTCACCACACTGAGGCTGAATGATATTTCAGTTATAAGAGGTATTCAGTATTGAACCAAGCTACTTTGACTAAAATTTAAGATTAATTTCTCACTTGGAACAAACCTTTTACATAATTTTTGAGCCAGAGATTTGGAGTTGTGCTTTTAAACCAGATGTGGGGCAAAAGTTACTTTAAGTATCATTGGACACAAATATAAAATTCATGGACCATTTGGATAACTGTCTCTAGTAATATATTTGTGGATTTAACACCTTTATGTAATGAGGGTGTAATGTCAGGCTACCTCAGCATCTACCCAGGCCATTGGGCTGTCGATGAAGAAGAAACATTGCTGGCCATATCTGCAGTGGTCCTCATAGTTGTAATCATATGGAGGTGAGGAAGATTCAAACACCTGCCATTTTCTCATCCTTCCTGCTGTCCGATGCCGCAGTTCCCCTTGCTTCTCCTCTGGCAGAAAAATCGATTCATTAACTTCATTCTAAATTGATGGAAAAAGATTTTTGCTAAAATGCAGCTATCAGATCTGATCAGATTAATACACTCAATTAATACAATCACTGGATCAGTTTAAGATTTTGGACATAATTTATAGAGAGTTTATGTATTTATATATTTTTATATTTATATATTTTCTCAGTTTATGTTTATGTACACAATATCCTCTTCTGTTGCAATACGTCGGCACAACACAAACCGGAGTAATGCACATGTAAATATCTGCCACATTGTTCTTTCCCTGCAAATAATTGTATTATTTTTGTCTATTCTTTCATTATTCTTATATAACTTGCATTTGTTTAGTCCTTATTTATACATTTCTACACTCATTTATGTCAACTGTATGTTTGTCAACGTGTAGCACCATATCTCCTTGTATGTGTAAAATATTAATTGTCAATAAAGCTCTTTCTGATTCTTTATTTGCTCAGCTGCATTACATCTTTTTCTGATTTCACATCTCACAAGTTGCACAGCTGAGTCTGAACAACCAAAAAGAAGACAAAGACTAAGATATTCTCTTTTACCTTCAGTCTTGTTTTGCTGAACAGGCACCGGCTCCTCCATTGGCTCTGCAGAGGAATAAGAGCAGGTAATATTACTGATTTTCATCCGTTGTTGTTTTTGTTGCAGGGTTACAGCAGAAACACAGTTTTATCCTTTGTCTCACAGGTGGACATTTCTGTTTAACAAGTGGACCTATACCAAAATACTATATCTACATGTTTGATCCAGTCCTTTGAAATTAAAGCTGGAGATGGAGCCCCAGGTTGAACTGTAACCTTGGTGTACAATGAAAAGATGCACACTCACTCTTGTGGAGTCTCACCTGTCTTCCTCTCTGTCACTGGATTTGCTGTGGAAGAAGATTCAGACTGTAGTTAACCATCTTCAGAAACTATTTCATGGCATTTAGGTAGTTGATATAAAAGATGCAGAAACCGTGCTAAACTTTTGGAAACACGATCTGAATTGTAGTTACAGCTTTTCAGTTTTGTCCAATAAATGTAATTTGTAAGAGAAGTTACATATCCAACTTTAATGACTTACAGTAAAAAACATAGGAATGACGGAAGTAGAAACAGACATAAATACAAAAATACAATAAATAAAAGCATAGAATAACTTGATAAAATCCTAAAGGCGCTGGACAGGCATGTCTTCATGATGATAAAAGGCTAAAGAATAGATTTTTTACCTTCTATTATAGGATTTCCATTATGAAAATCAAGGATATATTTTTGGAAACTTAAAACATTTTATTTTCAAGTTGCATCAACACTTCAGATTTGGTGTTCCATGTCTTGGTGAGTCTCACCTGATGCAACGCTCAAAGCGAAGACGGCACAGAGATGAAAAATGACCTTCATTGTTTGAACTGGGAAATGTCCTACTGCGGAACAAATATAATTATTAGAACATCACAGAAAAACAACTTTCATAAGAGGATTTGAGCTCCTTGTTAAAGCAGGAGATATGCAGACATCCATGAACTGTAATGGAAAGCTTTCAGATGAAGATGCATATAAACCATAAATCTCACCTGTTTCAGTGGAGTTGAATCACTCAGAATTGTCTTGCGGGTTCCTGAAAACAAAACACCACTTATATACAAAAAGCAACACGGAAATACTCTTTGAATTTACAATAATGGTTCAGTTCAGACATTGATTTACTCGTGTACTGTTTTACAGAATCAAGGAAAAACACGCATGGTTGCTTTTGTGTTTCACACACATGCACAACATCAGCGCTGATTTATCTTCATGTACTGCCATGGTTTAGAATTAACACCTGTTCTTGATAAAATGCAGGGACTTTTATTTTTACTACTACTAAACTCCGTTTAGTAAAGTCTGTAAAACTGCTCTGGACTGATTAAAAAAATCCTGTTAGTTTTATTAGGATCTGGTCAACAGTGGCAGGAGAGCAGTAATCTAGGTAAAGACAGAAAAACTTTAAGCTCCTAACTTAAATCTGAGTATCAAGCAAGTCACGGACCTGAATGCACTTTTATTGGTCAGCCTTTACTCGACAAGACGTGACAATTTTATAATGCACGGTCGCTGAGGTCAAGATATACAGTTATCTATTAAGTCAAAGTCTGACAAAATAAATCCCACCAGACAGGTTTTGGTCAGTTTCTCATGGAAATGAACCACAATGAGTTTGTTTGTTTTGTTTTTGGACATTTACCACACACAGACACACACATCCTTGTCAGTACGAATGAAGGATTAGCTGTCCACTGGAGCTGAGCCTAAAGGATTACATAAACTAATCTTAAATCCAAGTTTAAAACCTCAATAGAAATAAAAGAAAAACAATGCACACAACCTAAACACAGTTTCATCACTTTATTACAGTAAATGAGTTCATATCATACACACACACAGAACAGAGACGGACAGGTCTGTGTTTCTTTCTCTCTCTTTCTCCGTCTGTCCCTCCATCACATCAGTCCACCAGGGCAGACTGACATTGGAGTAAAAAAAAAATTGAAAAATTAAATAAAAGTGACATATAAAGAGATGCTGTAATCTCCCTCAGTTAATTAAGCGACATAATATTAACAAACAATTGAGTTTTCAGAGAATTCAAAAACACAAACAAAAGTAGAATATCGGAGATTCAGTTTACTTCAAACTGTCGTTCATGTGCAGCAACATTTCTGCATGTTACCTGGCGACAAACACACAGCTCATTGGTGGCTCTGTCTGCAGTTACAACACAAATGTCTGTTTCTGCCATGTTGTGACCATAGCAGCAATTCTGTATGTCATACAGCACATAATACAAAATGCCCATGTTAAGTATTAGCTGGACACACTGATTCTAGTCCAACCAAACACTTTTGAGATCACTCAAGTCAGACATTGCGCTTTCTGCAAAAATACCAGTGACATGTTGCAAAGACATTTTTCTCAATACTGCACAGTAATAATATATTGCAATATGACACAACGTACAAATGAAGTTCTGTTCCAAAACGAGAACAACCAACTTTGTGGAAGCAAAAAAGCTCTGTATTACCAGTCTCACATGAGCCACCTACAAGCAATAAAAATTAAATATGATAAAAATTGCTTCAGATGGGACTGAAAAGTCTAAAAGATGTGAGTTTGGAGTTAGGAAGAAGTTAGCTCTCTCTAGCTCACTCCATGTCTCTGCAGTGGCCACATTAGCTACTGCTAGCCAATCTTCAACCTAACTGTCGGCAGTCTAGATGTATTGTGGGTAATGTAGGCGCCAGGTTTTGACAAGGAAGGAGAATGGGTGGAATTAAAAAAAAGATGATTTCTCTGGTTATATGGCATCGATTTTAAAAACTGTCCACTGAGATTCTGACAATTTAATCAAAGCGCAATGCTAAATCGGTGGTTTCAAATTGTAGGCATGTCAATGTCTGCCATCTACAGGCAAGGAAGGTAATAACTACTGCAACAACCACCTGCAAATATTAAGAGTTACAACTGCAGTTGTTTTCTTTCCGCTTTAAATTTATCATTTTAAATCTGCTTGACTTTTGACAGCTATTTTCTGATTCTGAGTTTATATTGTGTATCCTCTTGTGTAATTGTACAATAAAAGAATAGGAGGTTACCAAGTCCAAAAGAGAACAGGAAATGTTTCTTGTGTTTCACTATAACTGGCACAGTTAGGCACATGCTGAACGAATAATGACTGAACAGCTCTCTCTTGTAGAGACTCTGCAGCCTCTTAAATGTGATTTTGAAAAAGTTTAGATTTAATCATGGTAAAAAGGTAAAAACAAACATCATTGCTTCAAACATTTTGCATTTCTTATACTGTATATATACACTGTATCAACAGCAGATAACAGATGAGTAGTTTGGAGAGAGCACTGTCATGCAACCTTGGCCAGATTCAAGATGCTGCTGCCGCATGGCTCAGATAAGCGAACATGCTTCAGTCCTTTAGATTTCAGAGAGCTCACATCACTCTTAGATGTTTATATGTTCTACCCAAAGTAAACAGAAAGAGAGCATTTTGGAACAGAACTTTTAAAATATTCATTCAACAGTCAGGTGATCCAACAGAGGACCAAACAGGGAGGACAGCTGAGTAGCGGTGTTAACAGCTACTTTAAAATGTTCACTGGACTACAAGAAAGAGGAAGAGAGAGAAATATCAACAAACATGAGGAGTAGGCTGATTTTTTTTTCTTTGCAGTATTTACATTTTGAATTGTGAAAAAAAGAAACTTATTTACAAAAATGCACAAACTAAGACTGCTCCATCAACAGGATGAGGGAAGTAAGATATAAACAACTCTGTAATAAAAAGTAAAAAGAGGAAAATAAAAATCAGTGATATTTACACGTGCGCTAAGAGGAGGAGACGGGAGAGAAAGGAGGGGGAAAAATGGCTTCTGAGATTGGGGAAGAGAAAAATCAGCCGTGTTTGATTCCTCTCGCTGGGAGCAGCTTTTCCCACACTTTGTCATAGCCACAAAAAGTCTCACAGCTCTGAGTGTGACGCACCCTGCAGAGTTAATCAAACACGCTGGTTGGACTCTCTACAGCACAGAAAGCACGATGTTGCCCAGCAGTCACCCACAGTACTGGGAGGTTAGCAGTTTGAAACCCAGAAGCGGCTGGGAGGAAAACCACGGTTGGAAAGAGAATGAAAAATGCTCTCCACTCTCCTCATATGAAATCGATGTGAATGTGCCGAGTGTGGTGGAATTCAAAACGCATTGGGGCTCGTCAGAGCTCCTCACTTGTATTTTTAAAAAACACAAACATGGCTACGGGTAAAAACAGCAGGTGGAGGCATGGTATAATAGTATCAAATATACTATACTAAAACTTTCAAGTGGTCTGCACTGCTTACTAAAAATATGAATTGTTGACTGCTCTAATCCCTAAAACACTGGTTGTTCAGACTGCAGGTTGGAATATGGTCGGTCAAACATACACTTTTACTTCTTTACTTGAGAGGATGCCGACAATACATTCTCTGACCCATGACCCTAATAGTAACCTTGACCGTAAGACCACGTCAACCAAACCAAACCAAAAAACCAACAGCTGTCTTTTCTCACTCTTATGGGGTAAAATTCAATTCAGTCCTCACAAAGATAGTATAAGAGTAGACAAACACACACCTAACAGAAACTCCCCTGCTTGAAGCTCATGTTCAACTATTCACATTAAGCCTTCAATTCATCTTTCTTATGATTTGCCTATGTGAACATGTCAGCACTAATGAACTGAAGCAAATGTCCATTTATCCTCAGTTGATTTTGTTTCTACGAAGCCGTCTCTTATAAAAAGTGAGAGAAACTTTTCTTTGATGGAAGTACAGTTTGCTAACGAAGCTGCAACATCAACACAAAGGCCTCTTCGGCTATAACTGACATCCAGCTCAAATCAAACATTTACATGAAATATTCCCCTTCAAGTTTAATAAAACATTAAATCCCCACTGCAGCATTCTTTAGTTTCTCTGCTTTGTGTAATTAACAGGGCCAACATTCACACAAAAGCACTTCTTTCAATACTAACATCATGACAGGAATTATCTTTGAGCCAAAAGGGGGAATTCCACCAAAAGAGGTTTTTGATTAGATAGCATTTGTGTTTAATTTGCCAATCATTTTCAGAGGATCTTACAGGTTTCAAAGAAATAACATCATCATATTCTGAAATTAGAGACATTTTAAGACTTAAATAAGAAATCCAAGCCTGTCCTGTCTGAATACACATCAACTGGTAGAATAGAAAAAAAAAAGACAATAGTAAAATGTAAAGGAGACCCGTCAAGTATTTACTATATTTAGTTTGAATACTTTTCAAAGCTTTAAAATGAGTGTGTAGGATTTAGTGGCATCTAGCGGTGAAGTTGCAAATTGCATCCAACTGAATAATAAAACAATGTCAGACTTTTTAAAAGCACCCTGTGGTTACCCTAATTAAAATGTTTTGGCTTCCTACCACATCACGATTGCCTCATTTTAATTAACTCAAGTTTTGAAAGCAATAAAAAGACAAATAATATTAATTTTATTACAGCCAATTTTAGTGGAACACACCTTTAAGACATTTCTGACCATAGACGTTTCCTCCACAGTAAACTGCTATTGATACTACTTGAGGTCTCCACTCACAGCAGGTCCTCGTTTATAGGTGGAATCAATTAAAATACTTTTTTTTCTCCTTTTGAATGGTTAAAGAGGGCGTAAATTTGGTTATTTTCTTCAGCATGTTAATTCTGAAAACAATTTAGTTAAGAAGCACTGATGTTTTGATACAGAATACAGACTGACTGAGCTCTAGTCTATTAGACAAGCTTCACTATCCATGTTGAATTTTGGAATTACAAGGAGCCTCTAAGTCTTCTATTGTTGTAATGATCCACGACGACAGTAGCATTCAGAGCACTGCTGGTTTTCATCTAATCATCGAAATGAACACAACTAACTAGTTGGTAGGACAGAGAACAAGCAGCACCCAGTAATGTACTACTAGCTGCACTACTATGATTCTAATTTGCTTGCTCAATTTCATTTAATTTTTCTGAGCATCACATTGACACTTTCTTCACAACTGACATTTACAGGTCTACACTATTTTTTGAGGTGATGAAAAAGAGCAGGAGTCAATGAATATTCCTCTGGATGTTTTACATAAAAGTCTTTCCAAATTAACATCTCTGCCCTCCTGGATGTGGAAATGAGTTAAAAACAATTATCACAAATAAAAGCTGAAAAGTAGCCTAAACCCATGATTGAACTAACCCATATTAATATGGAAGTGTAAAAGCAGATATTTTATAGGAATATTGCAATCTTTTACCAAACAAAACTATCTTGAACAGGAAACAAACAGATGAATACAAGACACGGTATCTGGTGGAGTCAGCGTTTGGCTGATGGCTGGTTATTTCCAGTCCATCCACTGAACATGATTCATGTAAGGGGCAATCCAATACACCTCCAACCAAACACTGATAACTGCTACTTGGTACTGATGAGTTTTACTACCCTCTACCCACCACTTAAGGAGGTAAATTAAGAAGACTTGGAGGTTTAATTTAAACCTAAACATCAGGCTGGATTGGTAAAATAATGTGGCTGGAGGATTTAGGAATTTATCAGTCCCTGCATCCACTCTCCTGCCCTGAGTTGAATAAAAATCTCCTTTACCCTGATGACCTATTTGGGGTCAGTTCTGGTCTTGGTCAGGCAGTGTACAGTTCACCCCTTACTGCAAAAAACACTGAAGATTATAAAAAAATAATCTGAAGTGGAAAAATCTTTAGAGACAAAACGTTGTGTGATCATACGATGTTTTCAATTAGTGAAATAAATAAACACAAATATAAAGAAAAAAAATGTTGATTTAAAAAAAGGTTATATTACAGAGGACCAGCCCCCACTATTGAACCTTCACATCCCACCCGATCAGCAGCGAAACTGTGTGTGTAACAATCTCCTGCTGTAGTTTCAACCATGGCAGCTACAGAACTAATGTTTGTTTGTTCAATGCATTTACTGTACAAAAACAGATCATCTAAGAGGAGAGCAAGCAGCACGGAGGAAAGCAGTAGAGGGAGGGTGTGTGTGTGTGTGTGTGAGTGGGAGAGAGTGTGTCTGTCTGTCTGTGTGTGTGTGTGTGTGTGTGTGTGTGTGTGTGTGTGTGTGTGTGTGTCTGCGCGTCTGAGGTAAGGGTGAGGCTGGCAGGCAGGCAGGCGAGAAGCTGCTTCAGATGCTGTTAAGAGACCCTGGTACTGAACTGTGTTGAGATGAATCTGATCCGGTACCATCTGAAGGACAGAAGAAACAAAGGACAGTAAATAAAAGTGCAGTTCAGCAAAGAATAATATATTATATTGTATTAACCTTAAAATCAGACAACTTTGTTTTATGTACAATTACATATTCACATCAGATATTCTTTTTGAATGGAGAAGAGTGGATGGATGTATTATGGTTCAAAGCTGTAAATGAAAACATACTTGGACAAGATACATAAAAGGTGGAATTTAAGTTACTCTTTAAAATAAGTATTTCATTTTTATTTTTTATGAGATCTATCTTATCGTGAAGATGTGCAGTATTTTTCCACAAAAAGGGTTTGGAAAAGGGTCTACTATAATCTGGGTTTCCATATATTAGAACAAATATGGTTCATATTCAGAATTTGTGTATCCTGAAATCAGTTTATGAATATGAGACCAGTATTTCACATCTAATCAGTCCCTGACAAATATTGTTGATTTCATGTGTAATACTGCCACCTTCTGTTCACAACCTGTTGTTCATTTAGTACTTTTGCCTTAATGAATATGCAATTTGGGGCGTTTAAATTTTATTGTGCAAAGTCGTGGGAGGGTAACATGCAGATACATTTATTTACTACACGCAATGTGATCTAACGAGCCTAAAAGCAATTTCATGCGAGTGCAACAGCATCTGTATTTAATACGTTTGAAAGGAAGGTGCAAACCGGCAAGTGTTGCGCAGAGATGGCTGCTGTTATCGTTGCGAGAAGGAGACACAGCCATAATAAAAGAAGATGTAGAGAAATTAACAATATTAGATATTATTCTATATCCAATATATTGAAATAAAATTATTTTATTTCATTTATTCGATGAACTATATGAATTGAATTATTCTTTTGTATTATCCTTTAGCTTTGGCAATACGGTTGTATTAATATTCATGCCAATAAAGCAAAACTCGTTTCGACCTGACTTCTTTTCTCCGTGGATGGAAGAATTTAGAAAGTTGGGGCGTACAGGGCGAGGGACAGGTGATCGCGGAGCGACCGGGCACGGTGCAGACGGTCAGTGATCGTTCCCTCTGGCTGGATGAAGCACGATCTGCTGGTATTTCCTCGAGTATGGTTCATTAGAGACAGCACCACTGTAGCTGTTTCTGCTGGGGTTTCCCAAAGCAGTTTTTAAGGTGTGCTGTCCCAAGTAATTAGTTCAATCTTAGGCAGGATGGGCAGGTACATATGATTTCTACATACTCGGGACGCACTGAATGAAACAAACAAGGTTTTTACGCACTGGCTGCTTTCACTCCCGACTCTCCATGGTGGAATCCATTAAAACACGCAAAACCTTTATTTAAATACTGCCACCTCCATTGTGTTGGCACCACGCAATAATTTTTACTTAATCACCCACAACAGGCGCGCAGTTAAGTACTCATTCAGGATGTAAGTAAATCGGGCTCATAGTCTGCAAACCAGACTGGACACATTTAACATTTTAACATTTTAAAAAAAATCATTTTATATCAGTTATTCTAAGTCAAATAATATAGGTATATATTTGGTTATTCCCTGTGTAATTAGTAGAAGTATGTATAGGTGCAATCATGATTGCAACTTGAGGCTATTGCACCACCAATTCCATGAATTCACTGTTTCACATTCACATGATGTATTTTCCAGCCCAGAACTGTCAGAACCAAATTGAGCCCATTTGACTTGATTTATCACCAGTTAAAAAAGATAAAATGTGTCTTTTTATTTTTATTATGATACATTTTTTTTTACTCACAATAACAAAATCAAAAGAATTGTGTCAGTTTGTTTTATGTTACTTGTGATGTGTGTATTTTTTTTAATAACTATATTCTTTTTACACTAAACTTCTTTTTTCAGCCACCACAAAATCATGATATTAACATTAAGCTATAACAACATTAACATAAGATTTTCCCACCGTGGGCAGAAGCAACTGTATGAGAACGAGCGTGAGGAGGAATGAGGGTTGAGTTCAGCTGCGGCTGGATTGACAACTCTGCAGAAAATAAAAGAGGAGTTTTCATCTAAGGTTACTGTGTTGGCCCAAGAACAAACCAACAATCTGTCAACTAAAAAACAGATGGAGATCTGGCTTCTCCTTATTAATTGATAAAAAATTACTTATTTAAACAAACACAACAGATGATTCGGTCCACAATTGGTTTTGAAATTTAACTAAAACACTCAAGATAATTATGCTTGAATTTGTAGCTACCTGTGGGGCTGAAGTTAAAGAGCATCGGCAGTTCACGTCCACTGGGCAGTCGCGTGTTAGGCTGGCGCAGCTCGTCGAAGAAGGCATGTGAACAGGCCTCTAGCGGGGAGAAACGTGAGGCCGGCGTGTACTCCAGCAGCCGGGAGCAAAGAGCAATGGCTTCTGGAGGCGTGCGAGGTTTAAACACCTGAGGAACAACAAGAGTTTTATTTTAGAACAGCATCCACACTTGACACTTTTCTTTTTTAAACACAAAACCACCCTGCATCACTGATACGAAACACCCAAAAACTGAGTATTTATTATCAACTGGAGGTTAGCATGAAACTCTGATATTCCATTTACATTAGGTATTTTATTTTAGCAAATGTGTGTAAACAAATAAGAAAGAAAACAAAGAACACATCTGACATCAGTCAGCTACAACCTCTAATAACTGTTCTGCAGCTGAAAAAGCAATTAAATGCAGTTTTTAGAGGAGGAAAATGTTGAAGGGCCACTTCTGTTGGTTTTACGTTGTTTGTGTTCTCTTAAGGTGTCAGGGGTTAATCGACTTCCAGAAGGAGGACATTTAAGCACCTGAACTCGCAGATTTAAATAGACTGTGTGGGCAACGACACGTCCACAGGTATTCTCTTCTCTTGTTTCAATAAACTGGTGTAATGTATGTCACTTTTTGGAACAAATATAATGATACAGATTAATGCTTTGGGTATTCAGAGTGTTCCTCCACACTAAAATGTACAGAAAGCAGAATGTCGTAAAAATCATAGTAAAACACTGATTTTATAGCAACTTTCACACATATACGTCTTAAACCTTTCCCCACATGTTTCCACAATACAGCAAATACAGACAGCCCTGCTGGTGTTAATCCTCAGGTATTTACTTACCTTGGTCCATGGATGGGCTTTGATCTGAGGGAACTTGAATTCTGTGTAGTTTGGGTTCATCTCTCGGATTTGTTCCCTTGTTGGGGTTCCCAGCACCTAAAAATAGATGTAGGAGGAGTATGAGCAGTATTCTGCGGACACACAGGCTGTATTGGCTCATGATTAACTTGATATTTCTGACAGTCTTTGATGAACATCAATACAAAATAATGGGTGTGCATGTCCACAAGCACAAACCATATCTCAACACACAAACCTCTCCGCTGAAATAATCTCACAGCACACAGACACCTGATAAACACACTCACCTTGATAATCTCTACTAGCTGGTCTACCCCACTGTCACCGGGGAATATGGGTTGTCCGAGCAGCAGCTCAGCCAGTACGCAGCCTGCTGACCAGATGTCAATGTTTGCTGTGTAGTCTGTGGCACCAAAAATGAGCTCAGGGGCGCGATAATACCGTGAGCAGATATACGACACGTTGGGTTCACCGCGGACCAGCTGCTTGGCGCTGGGGAAACATAGGAAATCAAATGAAAAGATAAAGATTGCAGCAAAACTCCAAGGGTTGGTCAGGGGATGAAACGTGTGAACTATTGTGGAGGAAATGTAATCAAGAGATGTGGGGTTTGTTGTTATTCCTCTCACAGACTACAGACATTTTTAACCTACCAGTGTGTTTAAAGAGTCCATTGCGAAAAAAAAACAAAAATAACAGGATTGGCTGAAGTCTACCATATTGAATACAGTCTCATAATACAAGTGGGCTGTTTGAAGTGGTTAATGCATGCCTAAGGCTGCACTCGTTATCTACAGTATCACATAGACTCAATACTCCATTGGAGAATAGATAAAGATCAGTTCTGTTCTGCACACAGAAACGTGCTACATCACGCTTGATTGTCAAGCTGTTGTTAAATTCTTCAGAAATCCATCTGTTCATAGAGCTCACCTGCCAAAGTCACACAGCTTGAGGATGGCAGTTTCTGGGTCGACAAGCAGATTTTGGGGTTTGATGTCTCTGTGACACACGCCCTGGGAATGGATATAAGCCAGACTGCGAAACAACTGGTACATGTACACCTGAGAAGTCACAACATAAAAAACAACACAAGATAAGTTCTCCACACTGTTCAAATGGAAACAAAAAAAAAAGTTTCAAAAGTTTCACAATAGTGAAGTAAAGATATACTCTTGCGAGATGTTTAGGAACAACACAAAGACTTGCTTGGGCAGGATAGAAATGTCTTCGTAGGAAAAAGAAGAAAATTACCTTCACATATATGATAGGAATGATGCTCTTGGCCTTGTTAAAATGCCTGGCAACCCTGTAGACGGTCTCAGGGACAAAGTCCAGCACCAGGTTGAGATACACTTCATCTTTCTGTATAGCACAGGAGAGAGAGATCATTGTATTTAACAGATGTATAATTTAATCCACAATTACAAACCCTGCCCATTGTTATAGCTACCCAATAATATCAAAAAGCATTTTCAACATATACATACATAAAGTGCTTGCTGTGGCTGCCAATTTGCTAATCTAATTTCTTTTTATAAAAAAAGGAACAAATACAAAGATTCTTTCCAGTTTTGACTTCTGCAACATTAAACTCAGAAGTGTTTCTATATTTGTCTCTCCAAGAAATGGATAGCTTCCCTTTTTTATGGTTGGGGTATTTCTTTTTACGCTGCATCTGAGTAGTCTTATCTCTTAAGTATGTTATGTGCATGCATCATTTCCTGTGTTTTATTATAATCTCCTCAAACTATGGTACTATGAGATAAGACTGCGTGAATATGGTGACTTAGCAAAAGTTTGTATGACCACATTAGATTTTTCTGCAAGAAAAAAAAAATAAAATCCTACCTTCTCGCCACTGGAGTAGAAGAAGAAACGTAGTCTGACAATGTTGCAGTGATCCAGCTTCCTCATTATCTGTAGTTCCCGATTCTGAAAAGAGAAGAAAACACACAAGCGTGGGTGGGAAATCATGAAACCAAGCATGAGAAGAACTTTAAAAGAAAGGGAAACTTTACATACATCAAATGAACCCCATTCAGGTTTATATCGAGACCATTTTTAAAATGTGTGAGAAACAAGCAAAACAAAACCCAACGTCTGACCCAAGGGATAAAATAAAACGAACGGAGAGTTTTTAAATAAGTTTAGATCACAATGGAGAAGAGAATGTGGAGATATTAGTATACTGAAGTCTTACCTTGAACCTCTTATCCTGCAGAACCTTCTTTATGGCCACCATCTCTTGGCTGTCGATGAGGCGAGCTTGGTACACCACACCAAACGACCCATTGCCAATCACCTGCAAAAGAGGAAACAAGCGGAAGGGTTACAACAGCTATTGATTTTTTTGAGCTTGTCTGTGTCAGTCCAGCACAGAGTACACCATTACAAATAACCTCTGTCACAACTTTACAGTTTCATTCAGTCTGAACTGGTGAACCTGTTTAAAGTAGGTCAGTCTGTCCTGTCTGTGTTTTCCTAAGGGGGTTTATGCTAAATCCCACTTATAAACCAAGTAACTGACTGCTAGATGTACTTAACATAACCAAAAACACACAGCAAGAGTAAATATCTTCAGATTTTTTTTAGTGAGGGCTGGATTCAGCAGTGTGAACCATCAGTCAGTTGACTAAACTTTAAATTAACTTAGATGGACTGAATAAAGGGCTACTGCACTTAATAAAACATGTATATTATTACTCTATATGTCCATTAGTCCCCTATTATGTTCAAACTGTATACAGTAATAATCAGACTTAACTTGTGATACACTAACATCCAGATCAGAAGCAAGGTGATAATTTGTGGTTCAACTAACACTAGACATGCATGAATTAATTGTTTTTTATTATTTTGGTTAAACCTTAACGACAAATAGATCAAACTTTAAAATCACATCTGAATCTCTGTAAACTAGAGCTGAAAGGACTGGCCTATTAACAGATTTGTCAGAAAATTAAATGGCAAAAATTATGATTAGTCTTGCCCCAAAAGTAATTTTTTAAGCAAAACAGCACAAAATTCACAAGCTCTTGTTTCCACACTGATTCCAAATGGAAAAATGTGCTGGTTTATATTTGGTTAATATATGAGTTTTAGACCAAACAAAACAAGCAATTTCAAGACGTCACTGTGGCCACAGACTATGGTGGACATTTATTACCATTATCTAGCATTTTACATAACTAATGATAAATTCAGAAAACACAAGAGACTGATAATGAAAATTATCATTAGCTGCAGCCGTAGTATACAAAAGTATTAAATTCATAAATTGAATGAAAAATTAATGCAATATCCAAATCGCGGGAGTTGCAATCTTTTGATAAAGGTAAAATGTGTCACAACATGTCACTGTGGTGCTACAGAGATGCCCCGGCCTACAAATCATATTCTCCAGACTTAAGGGGACATGCTTGTTTGGTACAGACGCCAGCAAAAAAAAAATCACATCACCACTTTTATATTTTTACCATTCCACTGATAGATGATTGTGATCGTAGTTTTATCCTCAAGATTATTAAAATATACATTACATAAATAATTCAGAAGCATTTTAAATAAAACCCTGATAACCTTCAACTGCAGCAGAGATTAGAAAAAAGAAAAATATTTCTGAAAAGACAGTATCATAAGACTACTGACTATTACAGAGGCATTAAGTAATCTTAGAAGTGATAAAAGTAAACCACCAGAAGGACATGCAGAAGCAAATGTTCTCTGGCTCAATGCAACACCAATCTCATCCCATGCGACACTGACACAATTATGTCACATTTTCAGATCAAGGCAACATAGTTAACAGAAAGTAGGTTATAATCTCAGCCTTGAAAGCTATAAATCTCAGCACCTGGTGAAATAATTATGGAGCCACTGGTATTTATCAACAACCTTATAAACTTTAGCCAGAGATATTGCAGTCACTTTGTGCAATGTGGTAATAAAAGTAATACGATTATACTTCTATATATACACACACAGAGCATCTTATGGTATTTGTTTTACTTCCTTGCTTACCTTAATGTCAGTGTAAGAGACTTCCTGTGGGCGGTCTGGTCCCTGACCAGGTGTGGCCACAACTGTCGTCACCTTCCCGCTGTCTCCTAGAAAACAAGCAAGAACAGGGTCAATATTAGATGAAAGGATACAAGAACACAGTGTTATGATTCAGAACAGGTCACTTCACTAGTGTAACATGGGTAAAAATACAGATATTAAAAGCTTTTAAAAAAAATCTCAATTAGAAGTAGAACACTGTAGTTAGTGGGGGACCCGGGTCTTGTTAATGAGGCTAGTTGCAGACGGGAAGAAACTGTTTTTGTGGCGAGAGGTTTTGGTCCTGATGGACCGCAGCCTCCTGCCAGAGGGGAGAGTCTGAAACAGTTTGTGTCCGGGGTGGGAGGGGTCAGCTGCAATCTTTCCTGCTCGCCTCAGAGTTCTCGAGGAGTACAGGTCCAGAAGAGAAGGAAGACTGCAGCCAATCACCTTCTCTGCAGAGCGAACGATACACTGCAGCTGGCCCTTGTCCCTGCCAGTGGCAGCAGCGTACCAGATGGTGATGGAGGAGGTGAGGATGGACTCAATGATGGCGGGGTGTAGAAGTGCACCATCATCGTCTTTGGCAGGCTGAACTTCTTCAGCTGCCGCAGGAAGTACATCCTCTGCTGGGCCTTCTTGGTGAGGGAGGTGAGGTTCAGCTCCCACTTGAGGTCCTGGGAGATGATGGTGCCCAGGAAGCTGCAGCTGCAGCTGCTTTGCGGGGTTTCTGTCTCCTGAAAAGGCCGTTGACTTCCCTCTCTGTGATGGAGAGAGAAGGGGAGGGGGTGGAGCTGGCCAGCTCTGAGGAGGGAGGGGAAGATGTGGTGGACTAAGGCTGAAGCTGAGCGGAGGAGTCACGGGGTATGGAGTCCGATTGACTCTCAAAGCGGCAGTAGAACTGGTTCAGCTCATTTGCCAGGCGAGAATCGTTTTTACTCCGTTTATAGTTTGTGATCTGTCTTGAACCCCCTCCAGACAGAAGTGGTGTCGTTTGCAGAGAACTTTTTTTGTCTCTCTGAGTACAGTCGTTTAGCTTCTCGCTCCTCCCTGCTAAACCTGTCCCCACTCCTAAATGCCTCCTCCTTTTTCAACCTTAGCTGTCTGAGTTTAGCTGTGAACCAGGGTTTGTCATTGTTATAACTCACCCTGCTGCGTGTTGGAATGCAGCTGTCCTCACAGAAGCTGATGTAGGACGTCACAGCCTCTGTAAACTCATCCAGATTGTTGGTAGCCTTCTTGAAAACATCCCAGTCAGTGCAGTCCAAACATGCCTGGGGTTCCTCAACAGCTTCACTAGTCCACTTCTTTGATGTCCTCACTACAGGTTTACAGAGCTTTAGTTTTTTCCTGTAAGCAGGGATCAGATGGACCATCACGTGATCAGAGTGTCCCAGTGGAGCGTGTGTGACGGCGTAATAGGCACTGCTAACTGTGGTGTAGCAGTGATCCAAAGTGTTTCCCTCTCTGGTTGGACACTTAATAAACGGTCTGTATTTGGGGAATTCTCGGCTGAGATTTCCCCTGTTAAAGTCAACGAGAACAATAACAAGGGAGTCCGGTTTGTACAGTATCCGGTCGGCCAGCATGCTCTGTGTGTCCTGAACGTTGGCGTGGCGTGGGAATCACAGCCAAAAACTGAATTAACACACAAAAACAAAAAGAAGCGCACCGAACACCGAGGCAGCTATACTCAGCGCCATCTTAGTTAAGTTGTTAAGTTGGATGTTAAGTTAGGATGTTAAGTTGTTATGTTGCTGTGAGGCGACAGTGCTAACCACTGAACCACCGCACCATCTGAAACCACATCATAACGTAACCAAAACTATACAGCCAACATTCAACCCAGGACACTTGTTGCAGCCCGGCTTAACATTTGGGCCGTCCCTCCGCTGGCCTCTTGAATATTTAGGTTAATGACAGCCAAGTGAATGGATGTCAACTTTAAGAAGCCTCCAAGGGAGAAGAAAGGAATGGCAGAGTTCATAGTGAAGACACTGTGACTAATTAACTAATGGTTATGAACCCAAAAATAGGCCAGCCCTTTTCTCTGTCCTGATAAGAGCCTTTTATACAAGGATTATTCCAAACTGGTTTGCAAACCACTGTAGAAGAAAGAAAACATGGAGGAGAGGAGTGAAATCATAAATACAGAGCACCCATCCAATCTATAAACGCTTAACCTTTGCAGGGTCGTGTCCAATGTCAGCTGACATTGGGCGAGAGGAGGTGTACACCCTGGACAGGTCGCCACACAGAGACAAACAACCTTTCACCCTCATATTCACACCTACGGGCAATTTAGAGTCACCAATTAACCTGCATGTTCTGGAGTTCCTCAACAGCTTCACTAGTCCACTTCTTTGATGTCCTCACTACAGGTTTACAGAGCTTTAGTTTTTGCCTGTAACTGAGGAAGCCGGAGCATTGGTAGGAAACCCACGCAGACATGGGGAGAACTCTACACAGAAGGGCCCCAGCCACAACATATTGGCCATATCGCCCACCCCTAGGTGGCAATGCACTGAACTGGCCAATCATTTACCAGTAAGCACACATGTTAGGTTAAGCTGAGGCTGTCCCTGTATCAGGATTTTAGAATCGACTTTAAGTCGGCACTTCAAACCAATGCATTGGTTTGAAAGGGTGAGGGGTCATCTTCGGTATATTACTTTGCCATTTGCTTTTCTTTGAAACAAGATATTTTTTGTTTATGTAAACAGTCACCATTATTACTGAGGTCTTTTCTTCAACACACCTTAAATAAATTATGAGAAATATATTATTTATTCTTCTGCCCATGAAAGCTTTCACATGGGGAAAGTTGAATGTTTTACTTTTGTTCATTATCCGTGATGTAAAAAGAGTCAGAGAAATTTAAAGCGCGTGTCCTGCTCATAGGTCAGTTATAAAATCCTGGCACAGTAAGGAGCGTCTCTCCTGCCGAGCTGCTGACAGCGCTGTCAGCCAAACACTCAGTCACACCGGGCGACAGTAGAAAAGGTTGTACCAGGTTCTGGTTCAAAGGTAGTTAAGCCGACTTCACAGACAGTCGGCACCAGAGCTGAGCAGCCAACAGACACGAGTCGTGCTGCCCTCCGTTTACATGACCCTTCTCTTTTTCCATCACAATCAGTTTTGTGGTAAGGTCATTTTGAGACATGACTCGGTTTGTAAAGCCTGCATGGTTCTGTGTACCAATGAGACAGCTTTTTAGGGGGTAAACCCTTGTGTGTTCACTGTAAAGCTAATGCTATTGTCTCACCAAGACCGAGCACAAAGCTATAGTGGTATTCTCTGTATAGTATTCAGAGGTGCTTCAACAACACGCATAGGCTGATGACAACACGTTAACACCATCATACTGATAAAAAAACATGTATATTTCTATTCTAAATCCTCATAACGACAATCTTATACTTTACCCTTACAAAATGTCACAACTTTTTCTTCTGAAAGCCATTGTGTTGTTTTAAGCTAACCGACAACATATCAAAGTTAACAGAAAAACAAAAGACAACCATTGCTTAACACAGGAAGAGATCTTAAGTATCATGCAGAACCCCAGCACATGTGGACTGGTTTTACTAGCCATGGGGTCAACTCCAGTTTAATGTTGTATCAGCCTCTATTCAAATAGTCTCAGCATGTTAACAATGCAAAATGTGAAACTGCCCCTTTCCTCAGTGATTTTAAACTCCTCTTTCTGCTGGTTAAAATGTAGACTATTGGTCCATCTGTAGCACATTCAAAAATTCAAAGTACAAAAGGTAAAATGATGATGAGAAAAGGCAGAATTTTCTGAGCAAAATGTTTATGTACTTGCAGTTTACATTTTTGCAGTTGAAACATTTAAAACAGTTAAAGTGTTAAAATGTAAAAAGTACTGAAATTTTCAGCTTATGTGTAAACCAGGAAAGCAGATGGAGGAAATTGTGGAAGTTGTAGAAATTAAAAAGACCTTAAAAGCTTTTTTTGTTGTTGCTGTTGTTCAAAGGTCAGACCAGAGATCTTAAAGTTTTTCTGCTCAACCAGCCACCCTATAAATCAACCACTACAAATTGCTGATTTATTTCTTATTTACACAGTGATACTAAAATAAGCTGCCATGTTCTGGATACCTTTATTTACAGCCTCTCTCTCTCACTCACTCACTCACTCACTCACATATATATATATATATATATATATATATATATATATATAGTACTTAAATAATGGAGCGGCCTTTTGCCGTCTAGCTGTCACGGTGCTCTATCACCCTCGCTCTGACCATGTCCACATACTTAATGCTTTGTTTACCAAACAGGACAATGCACTTATTGACATGGCCCTCTTACAGCCAGAACTGCATGCCCTGGTGTTTTTGTACATCCATATCCACTCACACACAGTAAATTGTCCTCAGCGACAAAAGTGTGTTAGTCATCCAATAGGCACGCTGGTGATATCTGTTACAGCTGAAACGGTGAGGCCTGCAGAGTGACCGGGTCACCGGGTTCTCTAACTCAACGACTTGGTTCACACTCTGGACGAAGACGAAGACGAACACACACACACACACTCGCACACCCCCCCCTCCAGGTTAAAAGTAGGACAGCTGGTTAAAGGATATGCCATCCCTTTTTTTATATAGTATGAAAAACCACCTCCTCAGTTCCCTGAGGTCAATAATCTATCATAATAAAAATGATTCCTTACTCTACCATGTGTCTGTTTTATCATTGTGTCTGAGTTCAGCGTTTCATATCACCGGTGCACTGTGTTACACTCTGCTTCCTGTCATTCACAGAAGGAAACTCAAGTCTTCACAAACATGCAATTGATCACATCCATATCTATGTATTTGGCATTTTTAAATGCAAACAGCAATATGAATTATGAGAATTTACACAAACTACTCTCATTAATGCATTAAACAGCAAATGTTCTATTTTAATATCTTGTCTTCTGAACTTAAATTAACTTCACATCTTAAAGCAAAGTAGCTTCAAGAGAATTAAATTCACCTTACTAATATGCAGTTTAATGCAGCAAGATCTTCCTAAATCTAACCAGGTCGTCTACTCTACAGAGAGAACCTCTGGTGTAAGTGTGAGAGGTTTCTATTACGTATTGTTTTGGAGTTATTGTTCTCACTTGACAGTCTACCACAAGAACATAATCAACACAATGGCCACTTCCCAGTGCATCGTGGCCGTCTTTCAGTAAACAGTCAGCTGGTTTACATAAAAAATTACATAAAGCAATTGTGGACAAAAACAATCTTGTGATACCACGATCCCTGTGTTGGTCACATGACTTTTTATAACCGCTCTCTCTGTAGTGTTTCCCAAAGAGATACCCATGATTCATCACACAGTTGCTGTTCTGCAAAAGGGAAACTCCACCCTAAAATAATAATGCTTTTCCACAATATTTTATAATTTCATTTTTCATAAAGCTTGACAGCAAAGAGACAGACCGTGGAGATGATGTCATCCAAAGGCAAAGCCCAGAGCTGCTCCACAAACAGTGAATAATGGAACAACTGCTTGGACACTGTGACAGCAGCCATGTTAATTATACTAGGACGTGGGTAAAATTTCAGATTTACAGCAGTGAGACATATTTTCGAATCCCGTTGAGTGTAATATCTTAAACCTAAAAGAAATTCACTGTATGTGGCCTAACTCCACAAGTGTCACCAACTCCCTAGTCAGTTGGTAGGCTAATTTCTGAAAAATTTATACTGTTGAAAAAATTATCTATATCAGTAAAAATGCCATCACATTGGTATTGTTCATGAAGTGTCATTCCAGTACACTGCCTATCTCTCTGTCCTCTCTTTTCCACTGGAAGTCATGTCTGGGCTTGTCAGTTTCTCCTTGGGACACATTTGTACCAGCTGCTATCTATCTATCTATCTATATCTATATCTATATATCTCTATCTATCTATATAGTGTCAAGCCCACTGCCCCAACTACAAGTAAGCAGGTGGGTAACAAGCTTATAACTTCGACCAGCCATTCCAGCCCATAAGGTGGCTAATTCGCTATTTTATCTTTTTGTTTAGGGTCACACTGTGGAACAAAAAAGACAGACTAGAGATAGAATAGAATTGCAAAGCAAAAGTTTGACAGTCAGCACCAAAGTTCCCTTTCAGAAAAGAGCTGGACTTGCACTATGAGGACTATTTAATAGAAGCAGGGTATGGGTTAATAGAAACCACTTAACATTTCGTCATCAAATATCTTCCGATGTTGTTCATAATGACAGATCACTGGTTTGGTATGGTAACACAAAACCCTTAATGCTCCATGTCCAAGTTTAATTTTACCAGTAATTCAAAATGTCAAATCACACCAGTCTCTCTTACAAATATCTGGCTAACTGGGTTAATCTTGCCTCTTGAAATAGCCTCCAGGACTCCCAAACCTGACAACGTATTCATCAGTCATCCAAAAGAGTATTTTTACCAGCTTGAGGCACCATTTGGACTTTAAAGGCCTCTGAGGGTGTTGATCTACTGCTGCAGTTGAGGGAGGGAGAGAAAACAAGGGCCACACTTCTTTGAACTGGAGATGACCTCCCATTCGGGCTCTAATATCAAATTCACACACCACTGCCTGCTAATGGCTGATAAGGTTTGGATTAACACACACACACACACACACAGATCTCTGCTTACACCTGTCACTACAGTGATAAAGGGGCATACTATAACTCCATCTCAGACTGACGAAACCTACTCCTTGGCATGCCAGCAGACAGCCCAGCTCTCGGACTGAATGTGCATCACTTGCATCCTCCAGGCGTCGGCCACCTGCTGCTAAGCCTTTGCCCCACAGGTGACCTTGGTGAAAAGGCAACTTTGAGTCCTGACCCGTCTCCAGGCGAGCCAGACTGATAACTGATGCCGCACTCTCAACCGTGTATGCAGCACTCAAGCTTAGGTATTTAAGTCTAGCTTGGCCACAAAGAACACCAGAGCCCGTTTCACTGCTCACTCACACTGACCACTGTGAAATTACATAGATCCTCAACTTGTAAGTTAACATTAGTAAATTAAACAGATTGTGAATCAATTTACGTTACACCAGGTTAAAATGATGAACACCTAGCTACTTAGTGTGACATTAATTGGGCTGAATACATCCATCGGCCGGAGGGGGAACTAGTAACATACAAAACAAGTGGCTAACGTTAGCAGGCTAGCTAGTTAGCACGCTAGCAAGTTGGTTACCACTACACGGGGATCAATAACGACTTTCCTCTGGATTGTGACACAAAGCACTGGCAGGTATATTTGAGGTAAAAGCACAGAATAAAATATATAGGATAGACAGACTCCAGCAAAGAGCTGGTAGCTTATTATAACTTACTGGCAAGCTTAAGGTTCGAGCATCCCGACGAGCTGCTGCCGGAGGCCTGCGGGACCCCGGACTTTCCTGTGCTGCTCCCCACGGCAGCGGCTGATCCGGTGGACGCAGCGGCGGTTCCTGGCACACCTGGCGGCTCAGCAAACGAGCTGGTCCTGGGCCGCCCGCTGCCGCTCATATCTCTGTGCAGGGGTCAGGGTTGTTTTTTCACTACTTTCAGCCAAGCGACTATTAAGTATAAGTACTCGGCAGCGAATAATCGTGAAAAGACACACCGAAAAATACAGCTCCCTTTGCCGCTGGCTGTCTGGGCTGATAGCTGTTGCTAGACACCTAGAAACAGACCGCTCGCAATGCCACCTGGGAGATGAAGTTCCGAGTAGCTGTTGCTCAGGTTTGCTGCACAGGCTTTCACAAATCAAAACAACTACAAATGAAAAATGACTTAACAGTGGATGTAGGCCAAAGAATTACCAACATTCAAAGTATATATTACTATAAAGAGGAAGGCTGAACATTTTTGTATTTATTGTCATAAGTCGTAAGTCATTGAATTCACCCTGTCAGTTAACTGATAGTACAGAGAATATTTTTATATTACAGATTAGTGCAGCTAGGACATGAAGCACTTAGTAACCTTAGTACTTCTATTGCTTGTAAAATTATAATAAAAGTAACAATAATGCAAATGTGAAAAATTAAAGAAAATACTTTATTTAAAATAGGAGGCTCAGCATTGTGACACTGTTTAAACCTTAAACTAGATTGGCTTTAAATGAAAGGCCTTTTCTCTAATATTTTTCAACATAATTTGCGATGTGATAATATGCTATGTGTGTGTGTTTATGTGGGATTATGCTTGTGGAAAACAACATACGAACATCGACTGGTGAAGGTTTCTTTTTTTTTTGTGATTTGGGCTGGTCATTTCCACAGTGTTTTTGCTATTGGGAGGCTCTCTGGTAAGGTGCCCTTACCTTAGCACAACCCTCACCCAATATGACCACAATCTAAAAAGGCTTCTCAAATACAATAAGCACTCTCAAGGCTTGATAAAAGCCAGCTGGAGATGTATGTGTGTTCCAGATATTTGGGGAACTTGACTGGTGGGTCAAGGTGGCTGCATCTGTATATCCTATTCATTAGTCTACAGCTACATTTGTCTAAGTGAGGATGAATTTGCAACTATTCTTGTTTGTCTCTTCCATCTTCTTTTTGAAGTCAAGAAGAAATTGCAATAAATTCAGGTCATTTTACAAATTCTTCAAACATTCAAAAATGATAAAACATGGGAAATTCAAGAATGTAAAAAAAATTCAAGGACACAACACATTGTGTTAGATCTTTAATATTTTCAATATTTAGTTTTTTTTGTTGTTTAGAAATATTGCACATGGTCAACATGCCTGCTTCTGAGATAACACTCACCTCGCTCATCCTACGTTTCCTTCTCCAAAGTAAGGACAGTTTATTTTTAAGCACAATCATACAGTGTACACGCATACATGTGTGTGTATGCACATATGTCTGTGTGGGTGTGTGTGCATGTGTGTATGTGATTGCACATGCATGCAGATGGACACTTTACAGCCCTAACCCCAAAGAGATGTGAATTGATAGTCTTCTATTTCCTGTGAGTGTTTATATATATATATATGTATATATTTATATTTATATATTGTATATCTTGAATATATTTCATATATCCTGAATCAACTGGGTTTGATAACAGTCAAGATGGCAGACAAAATAGTCATGGTGACTATAAAAATACTGTCTCTAGAGTAGAATATAGAATGTAGAATACAATGAAAAATATACTATTGATAATGTTGCTGTGTGGAGAAAGAACAGGAGGTTGGTTGTGTTAACACACTACCTGCATGTGCCAAAACATACACACACACCCAGACACAGACCTAAATGCACATATATGCAAATACCAGTATATATATATTTTTCACACAACCAACTGTATACAGAGAAACAAAAGAGATACCCATAATAATAACTACCCCCACTCTTCACCAAGGAAGCAAAGAGCCAAAAAGTGCTATTCAAAAATTGTCTTTGACTTTTAGTAAGTTATACCCTCTATCTCTTCAACAATAACAATAATTGTGTGATTCTTTTTTGTTTTTTTTATACCATAGTTAAAGATAGTATCACAACAGCTCATTCCTCTCACTGACTCACTGCACTGGATTTAATATCTATGGCACAAAGCCTTCCCCCGAAAACAGAATAACCCACCCATTTCCAAAAAAATAAATGTCCTATTGCACCATTTGATGGGAAAGGATAAAGTGTCGAGAAGAGAGGGAAGAGGGGAGGGCTCCAGAGACTGCCTTCCAGGGCTGGTCTAGGATCTGCTTTCCCTGAACTAACCCTAACCAGAGCCATCCTGAGCTACATAGCGCTTGACCCGGGACCAGTGCTTAAGGGCACTTTCTAACAACACTTGAGAGGTTGAGGGAGACAGGTGAGGAGGGAGGGGAGGACTGAGGAGAAAGGGGTTGAAAGGAGGGAAAAAGCAAGAAGGACAAAAGGGTGGAAAAAGGTGGTTGATAACATACGGAACAAGGTTATTATTTTTTCTACTAAAACAATCTCTAAAAACAATACTTTCCTGATTTTACTTGCGGCGGTCCCAGAGGAGAAGGGCCGCACAAATTGTGCAAACACCTGATTTCTGCGTTTTACAAAACGACAAACGCCCCTTCTCCCCCACTTCTGTGTCTGGTGAGAAATCGTAGAGGAGAGAAGGGGGGGGGGGGGAGAACCGCCCCAAGTACAATTAAAAGTAGGGGGGGCCACAGACTGATTTTGTCCCCTTCTTTGTCCAAAGTTTTTTTTTTGTTGTGATTTTTTTTATGCTGGAGAAGAAACACAATAGAGCCACGAGAGAAAAACAGGCCACGGTAAAACTGGTTATTTCCACGGCAACGATAACGAGAGAAAGCAACATTATATCCACTGGGAGATTCAGAGAAGTTTGGTTAAAATTCTACTTTTTCTCTCTGTAGGCTTGTCATGTTGTTGTTGTCCTTATTCACTATTATTGTCTGTCTTCCTTTAGTAGGAATATAAATCTTCCATCCAAAGAACATCGTCCAGTTTCTTCTTCTTCCTTTTCTCTGTGCTCTGTTGGGAGCCGGTCAGTGTCGAACTTAACGCTGATTCTTCAAAGCCTCACAACCAATAGTCTCTTTACATAATCTCTTTACGGTGCTTGTTCACACAGGGTTTAGGGAGAGGACCCCAACAGACATACAGACATATATAATAAGCTCCCGCCAATGAGGACTCAGTCTTTCATAATGGCAATAACTGAAGGTGCAAAGATTGGTCACACTACATCCCAACTCCTGCCTTCTTTTTGTTTTTCAGGAGAGAATAGGTTTCATGCTTTCAGTTTCTCTTCTCACTACAATCACTAACAACTGTGCAGGCCAATGGCTTGGTCAGACCGGGTTCGACTATGTTTGTGTACGAGTGCTCACACTGCACAGATGTGTCCATGCGCTGTGTGTGTGTGTATGTACTGTATGTGTGTGTGTGTGTGTGTGTGTGTGTGCTGTCTGTCTTGCAGCATTGAGGGGCTGTGGAATATTAGTGGAGGTCGTTGGGGTTGTATTTGTGTCCCAACCACTGTGCTGAGGAGTGGAAGGGTGAGAAAGAGGTCAAGTCAATGGCATCTGAGGGCTGGCTGGCTGGCTGGCAACAGCAAACTGCATCTGCACAATAAGTGACAAAGTGCCTCTGTGTGTCATGGTCCTTGGTGGCGGCTCCTGGGGACTGCCAACCAAGAGTAACAGTCTGATTTGGTAAGGGTGTGTGTGTGTGTGTATGTGTGTGTTTATGTGGGATCACGTGCATGCTGGAGATTACATATGCACCATGGTTTGTGTGTGTGCCAGAGACATAGAGAGCGTGTACCACAGAGTTTGTGTGTCAAACTACAAACTATTGTACAAATGTGCTGAGAGCAGACCTGGGCAAAGTGTTAAATGAAAATATTCTGAATACTTGGAAAAAAAGGGAAACAATACTACAAGAAGCACTTGACTCATCAGGACTTGCAGGTGATTCATCCACTTTTGAGGCTTTTTTTTTAAAATGTCTGATTCGACAAATCAAGCGCACCTTGAGTGGTTTGAATATTTGTGACCATATTCATATGTGTTTCTGCCCAGGTCTTGTGGAGATTAGTGCCAGTAGAACAGATCCTGCAGGAGCCATTCATAGTACTGGTTCAACACATACAAGAACATTCTGCGAGGATGACACACTCCTATCTCTCTTCTACTTTTCCTTGATTTTTCCACTTTGTCATCCTCTCCAGCTTAGGATCCTTCGCTTTTTGGCTCCTCGGGGCTCCGGCCTTTGTCTCCTTGCTGCTCCGCCCCTCCATCCTCCCGGGCAGATTGATTGAAAGAGGAGCTGTGGGGCGGGGCGAGGTTGGCTTCGGCTGACCCTCCGAGCTCGAGGGTTCCAGGCGTGGCCGTCTGCATGATCTTCTGACGGACTTCACGGATCTTCAGCTGCAGACACACTTTGGTGGGGAAGGTGTCCGAGTAGCGTGCCTGGAAGGCAGCGGTGGCCTGAGCTGGAGAGGGTGAAGGAATCAGGATGGAAAGAGAGTTAACACAGGGAGCAAGTAGATGGAGCAGTTGTTACAACTGTACACTGTATAATAACTGTACAATACAGGTATTACCATAAATCCTGAATGATATTCTTTAAGGTGCTTTAAGGCTGCATCTGCTACCAAATATATATACAAATCTGCTACAAAGCACTTGATTGAAAGTATAATGATTTTCTCTAAATGTAAAGTATTTATTATTAATGTGGGAACAGACCTTTTAAGCTGAAGTAAGGTTTGCCCGTTAAATAAAAGTTAAATATTTAATCTCCATTTCAGTTATTACTGTGACATTATGTACTATATCTACTGGTGGTTTACCTGAGGGAAAGAAGCCGTGTTCCTGAAACAGCTGCATGACCAGGGTCCGGCGCTGATCCAGAGTTCTACGCAGAGACGAGTAGGGGACCCTGTCCAAATCTCCTAGAAGATCCTCTCCTTCTGTACCTAGTTGAACAAGCAGAACATCGTATCACTTTCAATTCACCTTTTGGAGCAGTTCTGCAGCTGATGCACCTGATGTACCTGACGTACCTGGTCTGTCAAAGGTGAAGATGTCTCCCTCACACTTGGCGGCGCTCTTGGGGGTGTTGGGCTCCGAGCTGCAACTGGAGAGACGACGAGTCTTCCTCCTAGGGGAGCTGGGGTCTTCTGCTGTCAGCTCCAGCTCTAGACACATGACGTGAAGGATGAAGAAAGGGAATATAGAGGAAAAGGGGATAACAGAGTGAAAAGAAAGGAGGACATGTAGGAAGAGAGGACAGGGTAGAGGAGCAGGGAGTGATGAAATGTAACAGGGATTTGGAGAGGACAATAGGGCAGGGTAATAAAAACAATGAAAAATGGGAGAAATAGCAGTAAACATTTTGAAATGGAATGGGACAAAAAGTCTCCAAATAACAAAAATGTTGTTCTGTCAATAAATGTAATTTATTTCACTGCATGTTATATTTGTTTGTTCATCTCTCTCTCTGCATCTCACCGGTGGAGTTACGTCTCTTCCTGCGGTAGCTTCCCAGGATGGCTCTTGGTGAGGTGGCCAGACTCTGCAGAGTGGGCGAAGGAAGGACCTCCTCTGGGTTAAACTCTGGAAGCTCAGCAAAACGCTCCTCAAAGTAAGTTTCCGACAAGACCCTGCACACAGAGAACAAATTGGTCATGTCAATGCCCAGTCCAGTAATCCGGTGTTTAAAATATCAAGGGATTTTCTCTCAATCTGTACACATTTCTCATGCCTAAGGGCTGAGTTCTCTATTCTCTTTCTCTCTGTGGCTTCACCACCACTCTCTTCCTGTCTATATAAAGAAAATAAAGGGTGAGCACTCCACCCACTCACATTCAGTAAACAAAGAGTTTCCACCACAATTTTATGAAGTTGGAGGTTTGGTCAGGAACTAAAAATGGATTTAGATGCCACTATGTGTGAAAGTCAGTGTTAAATAAAGTCAACAAACGGAGTCCTCTCCAGGGCGCTGTATTTCATCTTCAAGCTGCTTCACGCCATAATTACAGAAGATTAGCTACTGTTATATGAGCTGTCTCAGCTTGAGAAAATGTAAACTGTTAAAATAGAGAGAACATTGTCTTACAACAACCAGAAAGCCAGAAGGACCAAGCAGACTTGTTGTATTTTGTTTGGCACTGACTCTATGAGAGCCATAACTAATGCCTGATCAGTGGGAATGGCTTTGGGCTTTACTAAAAGCTTGTCTTGCAGTCAAAGATGTGACTGGGCTTAAATTATAACAAAACATGTATGTCTTATATTCATTTTCAATTCCTCATTTACAGGTTTGTCATTTAGCAAATTCTGAAACTTTTAGCTCCCTTTACCCGCACAGACATGTTTGATTAAATAAAAAAATGTAAGAACTAATGTGAAGTTCCTTCAGCTAACGATTCGTGTCCTTTGATGGCAGATTTTTTTCCACTTACTTGTCGAGAGAGTCGGGTGTCTTTTTGAGAGGCGGGGGTCTGAACTTGGTTTTCTTTGAGGAAGAGGGGGGCTCTCTTTCCGCAGGAGGAGGAGGAGGGGGGTCCAAACCTGAGGGTGGTGGAGGAGGGGAATGAGGTCCAGCCTGGGAAGAGAGCGAGAGAGTTGAGAGCCAGACTGGTGAAACGGGGTCCCACTGCAGCACTGGCATACGACTTCTTAACTTTTCACTTTGGAGCATGCTCTGCTGTGAAAACACACACTTTACACTGTTTTGGTGCACTACGTCGTGTTATTTGCCCATACACTGTTGATTATTTAATGTTAGTCGCCCTGGACTGATCAAACATGATCATACCTTATAAAGTGATTATCATAGTACTTGCAAAGATATGGTTGATCCGTGACGGCCTCACACTACAGTCTGTTACTGGCGGCAGGTTATTCACCTACAGCTACAAGAATCTTCTAATACACCTGGCCTCCTTGCTGTGCAACACCAAACCTGCTGTGGTCCAACCATCGGGGCTACGGCCAAAGAAAGAAGGAAAACGAGGATGAATCCGCAGCAGATTTAGGAAGTGTCCATTTAATTCACATCTGCCCTCCATCATCCTGTCAAAAGGCCACTCACTCTGGGATAAAATGGACTTACTACATGTCCGGTGCTGACTGGAAAGGGCTTTCAGGGACACCTGCATCATCACTCTGTCCGACACCTGACTGGATGGGTCAGCCTCCGATGCCGAGGTCTGCCAGGACAGCTTCACCATCATCAGGTCAGACAGAATGGAGCAATTGAGGAAGACACTGTGACTTTTCACCAATAAACTGAACTAATTCTTCGCTCACTTTGAATCAGGAGCTGAGAGCCGACCTTCCACCGGACCCCAACCAGCCGGCCCCCTTCTCAGAGGAGAATGAATGGCACCAGCTTAGCCGGTATAAGAAAGTCAGCCATCCTTAAACCTAAAGGACTCTATGTCACTCCCCATCTCCTCCTACTTTTGTACCAGCAAATAAGTATTGTTCAGCAAGCTCTCTGTCACAAACCGGGTCAAACTCATATGCAGAACCAACACAGCTGCCACGATTATAGGTTTCCCCCAACCCAACCTCTCAGAGCTCAATTATAAGGCCATCACATGCACTGCAAATTCAATAACAAGGCATCACACACCCACTCAAATTTCACTATACTGCACTCTGGGCGCAGGTACACGTCCTTGAGGTGCAGAAATGCATCGCTTTGACAAAAGCTTGGTACCCGCAGCCATAGCAGCCCTAAACAGGATGAGTCACTAGGGGAATGACAAGTCTCGTTTTTTGATTTTAACTGTTGTTGTTATGTGCTTTGTGTTGTATTTCATGTTGTCTGGTGTGTGATTACGTGTATCTTCCTTGTGATGTGATGTAGGAATTTCCTCATGGGGACAATAAAGTCTAACTAACTAACTAACTTTCCCATGACTTTCGGTAAAGTCAGAGTCATTGGTCATAGGTTATTTCACCATAGTTTATTAGGACGTGGAGAACGGATTGTTAGCATGTTTGCTGTATCCATTATTGTTTCTCGGGAAAGTTCTAGGTTTGAACAGTCTGATTTGCTGGTATATTTATTTTGCATTTGTAAATTCATTAATATTCACTGACTTCCTTAGAGAAACTCTTAGAGAAGAAGAGACAAAAAGTCTAGAAAGAGACCTACAACTATGTAAATGGGCCTCTGAAGGTCCTCAACTAAAGCTTCAAGAAATGTTTAGTTTGAGGAGAGAAACTACTGAATGAATGGAGCAGATATCCAGCTTTTCTCACCTCTTTGCTGCTGTCGGCCATGCTGTAGTCCTCTCTGTCTGTCTCTCTGCCTCCCTTCTTTTCACTGTTCTCCTTCATCCCTCTCTCTCGTTCTCTGTCCATCTCACTTCGTGTCTCTCTGCTGTGTCCATCTCTCAGATTTTCTTCTTTAATGTGCAGACAGATGTCCTCCTCTTTTTTGACTGGAGCAGATAAAGATCATTTCAAACTTAATGATATAAAAACACTGCATCTGGCCTCATTTATGTCACCTGTTTAAAAGGTGCACACTGTAACGTTAATCCTGAAAGCTCACTTTCACCACAAGATGTTAATCTGGAAAACATTCACTGAAAAACAGACTGCTTCTGCAACAATCAGAAGATTTTTAGGGCTCCACACTTGACTAAATGATAAGATAAATATTTTTTTAACTCAATCCAACAGCAAGAAACCAACACTAAAATTTAAAACCAAACCAAACAAAACCAGTGGAGCATTACCTGCTGTGGCATTACTCATACAGGTGGCCACTGACAAGCTGACAGCACAGCTCGGCAACCCGTGTCCTCCATCCTCATCCAGCTGGCTCTCCCTCTTCACCTCCACCTTCGGCTGCACATCCATTGTAACGTTAGCCTGAGGGGATGCTGCCGCTGAACCCTGCACTCCTGTCGCCAACGGAGAGGAGGGGTTTATAACGTCCTGGGCTGGGGTGGCCACTGCGGGCGGCATGGTTGTCACAGAGACCACGCCAGTAGCCAGTGCAACGGTTGGTGCAGGGTATATGGCAGTTAGTACCTGATGAAGAAATAAGTAATGCAAGCATGTCAGTAAACAATAAATTCTGTGTGTTATTTTTTAGTAGAATAGCTCTGGTTTCAAGGAAGGATAAGCGGTAATAACAGCCGCTGACAGTGAATATGTCATGTGAAGGTAAGCTAAAGCTGAGACAAGTGAGAAAAGCAGAAGTGAAATTTATTTCTCCAAAAGAAAAAATAGATTCTGTTTTGTTACACAAAGTAAACTAATCTTTGTGCTGTAGAAGTTACAAACTGGTGCCACAATGTAATAATGTAATGTAGAGGCCAAAAGTGACTTCCAATGTCTTTTGATTGTTTTTTAAAAACATTTTTACCCTAATGTCTCAAACTGATGTGGTGATTATTTATCGACAGCAAAATATTAAATTTAGCAACTTTATTCCCACTTCCTCTGTAGCAGCATGAGCTCCTGCAATTTGTGACCAAATGTGCACTTGTTACTGCAAGAGTCTTTCTGTGAGGTTTAATTCATTCATACACCAATGGTAAAACATGGACATTAAAGACTGCTTTTAATATCAATTAATTTGTTCACTCTTTAAATACTAGAAACATCAGTCTTCTAATATTCATGACCACACACACTACAAGTCTTTGGTACTAACAGTTCTCTGTTCATCTTTACCTGACGACCAGCTGTTCCCGAGGCCTGACCTGGAGAGCCCAGGGGTGGGGCCGGAGCTAACAGTGGCGGTTGACCAATGAGTGGCTGAACCAGGGTTTGCCCAGCCGGGGCGATGGCGGTGAAACCCAGGGTTGCCAGAGATGATGGGAGATATGTCGGGCATGGAGCGGGTGTGGCCTGTTGGGGTGTTGCTGTGGTGCCTCCTGGGCCAGACTGGACGTAGGTGATCCTAAAGGAGAGTCACGAGTGTCAAAGCTGAATATAGTTGAATATTACAAATTTTAAAAAGTCAATAATGGCTTGAGCAGCTTACTAACGTCTATGGCTCATTAAACAGGTACAATACAAAAAGACAAAATCTGATATATTTAAAAAGAAGACAAATTATCGATGATATAACAGATGTGCGAACATGCAGTTAAAAAAAACTAGGGCAGCAACTACTGATTATTTTTATTATGGATTATTCTCTTGATTAATCGACTGTTTAGTCTAAAAAGTAATAAATGATAATTTTCCCAAAGCCAAGCTGACTTCAAATTGCTTGTTTTGTCTGATCAACAGTCCAAAACCAGCAAATATTCAGATTAAGATTTGGGCCATTTTTGCAATTATAGACAGTATTGTTGATCAATTTCTGTCAATAAAGTATTCGATTTATCATTTCAGCTTAAGCAAAACCTACCTAATTTTCACTTTGAACCATGTGGCCAAATGGAAATATTTCTTTTACTTGTCTAAAAACTTGGAAAAAGGCATTAAAAGTTTTTACAGTTAGTGTCATAGTTCGTGTTGCTGTGTCAAAATGTTTTGAAAGTGTTGACTTTTATTATCAACATTTGCTGCACATTAAGTACAATTAACATTATGACCTGGCTAAAATTGAAATCCGACAGCATCTTTAAATCTCAGAGGGATCTCTGACCAGCTGAACCAGCAGCTGAGGAAAATAAAAGTGGGTATGTGTTGTCTGTCTTTCAGGTGTCAGGCCTGTGTTAGTGACCTGGTGGGTGGAGAGGTCAGAAGAACGGTCTGCGGGGGCGCGGCAACGGGCGCCATCACCGTTGCCATGGAAACAGGAAAGGGGCTCCCAGGATGCACTGCTGCTGAGCCGCTAGGGTGAATGTTGGTCTGGACCACAGGCATGGGAGCGATCTGGATGATCTTTGAGGGGCAGATAAACATATAAAACAAAAGGATTTTCTCCTGTGACACAAATGACTGTGACTCAAATGTGGTTTTTATGGTCCTCAGAACAACTCTAGCACTTTGTTAAAGCTAAAACTTGTCCATCCTGAATAAAATGTAGATTAACAGCAGCGAATTCAACTAGAATGAATAAACATTAATTTAATCATTCAGTTAATAAGTAACAGTGACAGTGAGAATAAGCCCATTACAATTTTTGCTCAGGAGATCTTTGTTAAAGGGGACCTATTATCCTGCACTTCCATCCCTATATTGTAGTTCAGTGACTCCTGTATGGTAGCTTTGCATGATTCAAATTTTTCTATCTTATACTGGCTGTTCAAGCAGGCCCTCATTTAATCCCCCCCCCACAGTATAAAAGAAGTGGAGACTGACATTTTGAAGCCTCGAGCGTGGCCGTTTGGCTGTTGCCGTGTTGATTTGTTTCAACCAGGAACCAGACGTGACCATATTCGGACGAGACTGTGGCGCTAGCTAGCTTGGTTAGCTAGGTGCATCCATAATTCACTTTAACTGTGATTTTAACCGGGATGCTAATTTTGGCTAGATAAAAAAAGGCTAAAAACAAAACAACATACTTACTGGAAAAATTTACTGCTGACTCCTAGTAAGCTTTTTCAATGGCGCTGGTAGCGACTTGTCAATCATAAGGTAGCCCCACCCTAAAACATCCCCTGCTTATGACATCATACCGAGCCTATAGTAGAAAAAACTGTTGAAACCTGAGCATTCAGAAGAGAAAATCTGAGGTTCATAATCACAGGGTTTTCTTTTAAATACTTTTACCTAATTATTTGAAGCTTTGTTCATATTTAACATGAACATCTGACACTGTAACATTATAGATATGCCAGAAAATATGGAAAAGCATAATAGGTCCCCTTTAAATTGCTTGTTTTTATCTGAGCATTTTAAAAGCTGGAACCAATAAATACATTTATATATATTTGTATTCTTCTATAATAAATGATTACTGATTACTTAATATTATTATTATTATTATTGACATTGCTGACACTCGTTTTAATTACAGTGTTGGTATTATTACCTTGTTTCCTGTCGTGGGGCCGTTCTGCACAGGAAGAGGTGGAGCAACCAGGGAAATGGAAGGATGAGGAGGAGTAGACCCTGTTCTCACTGTTGCCATGGGAACCAACATCTTGCTCTGCAAGACAGGCGACTGGGTTTGGACTAATGAGTGAGAAGTAGAGAGAGAGAGAGAGAGAGAGAGAGAGAGAGAGAAAATTAAAACACTCAGCATGAGAAACATGAATTGGGCCAAAAAAGTGGAGGTGAAGACAGCTCAGGAGCGACTGGTGGGTTGAGACACACTGACACAGAGAGGACATTTCATCTACTGATAATAGTGAAATTCCTCTGCAATAAAGCGGTGGAACAATGTTCTGTTGCTTCTGACTCTTATGAATAGAGAGTGATTAAGGCATGGGTGGGCGGCGGGCGCTCATGCTCATGTCAACAGTGTTTTACATGTCAATCATTTATCTCCCGTTTATATAATCCAATCAAATCTATTTTCAGTGCTTCCAGTGGAGATGATTAATACGAAATAAGCGAGGGGAACTACAGCAAAAATAGAAAATTTAAAATAAATAAAAATTCAGTTTTCAGCGGACCAGTGAAAAGACTAAAATGAAACTCAGATCTGTTCTTTTTTGTCAGCCAATCGTGCTTTCTGTCTCACCTCTGGTCCCAGGGCTGACTGAAGCAACTCTGATTCCCGCCCCCGTGTGCATGCCATTGGCCAGGGCCGCAGTGGTGGGCAGGGAGAGAATTTGCTGGTGGGTGAGTTGAGGGGAGGAGGGGCTCTCAGTAGGCAGGATGTACTGGACCTGTGCTAGAGGCTTGGGGCCGGCGGCAGGTGTGAGAGAGGAGGTGGCGGCAGTGGGATGGAGCTGGGGTTGGAGGATAGGTAGGGGGGTTTGTGCGTGAGGCTGCGCGGGGGTAAGGATCTGCACTGGTTGGGCAGCGGGAAAGGACCCTCCCAGAACTAGGCTAGTGACCAGGCCGCTTCCCCCCAAAGGGGTTACACTGACTGGACCTGGGGAGGAGGATGAGGACAGGTACCCACCCCCTGCGGTGATTGGCAGCTGCTGAGGTCCGCCTCCTCCAATCAGGAGAGTGGCTTTCTTGTCCTGGGCGTGGGAGCTGAGGGTGACGGCTCCTTCCACTGGCTTGCTGGTGATGGGGATGGGCGTGCTGGCGATGGGTCGTACCACATTGGTCACCATAGTGGGAGCCATGCGGGCGGTGCCGAGGACCTGGGTCAACCCCTGCTGGGCCAAAGCAAGGGGAGCCTGGGTGCTGGATGTTGAGCCTGTGATGGAGAGAGAGGAGACACTCTGCCCACCTCTTCCACTGCCTTCTTCACTCTTGGATCCTCCTTCGCTTCCCTCCTCTCCTCCGTCTGTACCTCTCGTTCTCTTCCTCTCAGACCCCTCTTCACCACCTCCTCCTCCTCCATTCCCTTTAGCTGAGGTGGAGTTGGAGTGAGGCATGGAGGGAGAGGAAGAGGGGAGAGAGGAGCGAGCCACTGGCTGGAAGCCATGCTGGAGGGAAAGAGATTGTCGGAGAGGTGGAGAGAGGGAGAGATCAAAGCCGGGAAAGTTACAAAGTAAAGTTCTTCTCTTCTTACAGTAACTGTGGAAAATATAAGTTTTTTAATGCTTGATGGGAATTAAGGACTCCAAAAACTAAAAAGCTTAAATTAAACCCCCAACAATGTGATGCCTTAATTGCAGAATTACACTGTTGATATAAGAATGCAGCTCTTCAAGGCTCTACCCTGTAAATCAAGACACATCAATACCTAACTGGAACCAGGTTCAGTTTTTAATAAATAAAATATGTTTTTGCAGTGCAGCTTTTTACTATATCTGATACCTAATACTCAACTCCTTGATGTGGAGCCCATATACAGATCAGAAACAAGTACTCTATTAAATCTAATTAGCCTTTACTCTATATTGTAAATATCCAGGTACAAAATGGGGGAAGGGAAAGATAGGATTGCCCAGGACAATCTAGCTCAGTGAAGTCCACTGTGGACAGTAATTCAAGTTATTTGATCACTGCAACTACCTGTCCATCCGGTTCGTCCTCATCACTGTCCGTCACTCTCTCTTTACACTTGAGGTCAATGGAGCCTTCAGGACAGGAATCCTCTGAGGGTGGGACATGGAAATCTGAAGTTAGTGTTTTCAACAAATTTCAACAAAGGGGGCAATACACACATTATATTTTTAACTGTTCCTTGGAAGTTATTTAATTTACAATGAGTGCAAGTGAAGCAACGCTGATGGTGTCTGGACAAACATTTGGAAAGGCTGCTTTCAAATCACCAGATTTACCATCAAATAACCAATTATGTGCTATTGTTATTAATATATTTTAACACTAGGAATTACCAGTTCAGGGCTGCGGCCAGGGCTCACCAGATGACATAACTGACACCACCTATTTTTTTTTTTAGCTCTTATGTGTGTTGCTGACGTTGTCATTCTGACTAAGAAGGCTGTTTTTTTTTAAAGACACAATGATCATTGTGGGAACTGAAACTATGACTTTGTGGTTATGCAATAGAGTCTCTAACCACCACTAGACCACTCTGTTGCTCATCTTACTCACCCATAACATCATCGTCCCCCTCTTCCTCACAGATGACCATGCGCTCTTCATCACTGGTCACATCCTCACTGACCCCGCCCTGGTACAGGGACTGAGGCAGGGGCCGGTGGCGAAACAAACTCGACCCATCCTCCTGACACAGTGGAGAATAGAAAATGTCTGTGTAGTTGCTGCAGAAGGACACTGATTCTAAACTCAAAGCTAAAAAAAAAAAAAACTTAAGTCCTTAAGTACTTAAGAACAACACTTCATACAGCAGTAATGTAGTTACTATCAAAGCATGCATACATGTGGCTCCGACACCAGCATTAAATGAATGCCTTCAAAACAAAAGAGCTAACATGCAGGCCTATCCCTCTGCGATTAGGAATGAAGCACCAAACACTAGTCTCATACCTTCAAAGGCGCTAAAAAAAGTAGAAAGTGAAACCTTTGAAGTTGCAGTTTGAGCACCCCCAGAGCTTTCAGTGGGTTTTCAGCAGCAACAACTCAAGCCCTCACACAAAGAACAAAGAGAGTCCATTTGAACTGTTTTTGAAAAGCATGCTTGCAGTTGTAGAGTTCAACCAAAATGGTCTGCAGTGTGAAGGACACACGTCTGCTATCTGCGATTATACACACATGTTGGTGTGTAGACACTCACACTCAATCACTGGCCCTGTTTTTTCTTTTTAAGAATTACTTCAGTTTGTTGCTTTTATTTTCTGCATTTGTTTTTTGTTTTATCTTTACTTTGTTCTCTTAGATGCCACAGATTTGTTAAAGGCGCTTGAAAAATACTCTTGACTTAACTGAAAGCACATGATTTAAAATTTTCTCTAGCTTTAAGATTAAACTAGCTAGTGATTTGGAGCACATTCTTAAATCTCCAGTCTGTTTACTTTTGCCTTTGAGCTGCAGATTAACAACCTCCTACCTTCTCCAGGTCTCCCTCTCTTTCCCTCTGCTCCAGGGTGTGCACAGCACTCTGGGAAAAGGCTCTGGGACGAGGGTGCTGCCCCAAAAATAGCCCCCCTCTACGCTCTGACCCCCCAGGCCAGCCAGAGACTCCTCCTTTCCCCTCCAGCACCTGGGAGTCTGGATGGGCATCTGAAGAATGGGAGAAAGACAGAGAAAGAAGAGCAAACATAAAATATCACAGTGTATCATCATGGAATAGATCAATAAAACTTTGCACTGATGTACTGTCTAAGAGCATCAGCAAAATGCTTGCAATATGCAATAAAAACATCTTTTTATAATTATGTTTTTTGTAGAAAATGGTTCAATATGACTTTTAAGTACAAAAAATTCAAAGCAGCTGATGATCAAAACCATTCACTGATTTAAGAAGTTTTTTCCTTTTAACTTCTAGCTTCCTTCTTTTAACTTCGGCTTGGGAATGTTAATCAATGCTCATCAAAACATATATACATACAAAACATATACACACACACCTATGCTCTCTGACATGCTCCTCTCCCGTTGCTCCTTTGGTGTCCCACGGCCCTCTGACAGTGACTTCCTGCGGTCCTTGTTGCACCACTTCCAGTCTGGATGGGCTTTGAAGTGGGCCTCTTTCACCTGGAGGAAGATTGCAGTGTCTTTAATTTTCAGATGATGCAGTCTGAGTTTCTGTAGTTCATCCATGGTGCCTTTCACTGCCCATGAAAACTATACATAGCTATACATTTTTTTCATCCGGACAAGCTGCTACTGCTGATGGTGAATCTGCATGTCTGGAGAACAAAATTAAAATATCTCATATACTGACACTACTGTGTTATGGTCATCAGTAGTAAACTGCTAATTTATTTAAATTAAAGTAAACAACAAATCATTGTGATCAATTCACTACAGGGATGTTAAATATACCCCTGACAATGCAAAACAAAATGTACTTTGAAGAAATAAAAGAAAATAAGACCCAATTAAAGAATTTTAGAGGGAATCTTTACCTGGAAGGCTAGATCGTGGTACTGCTGCTTCTCGTTGGGTCCCAGAGCATACCACCACTCCCCCAGGATCTTGCTGACTGTCCGGTTGTCCTGGTTGGGGTGTCGCTGGTGAACCAGGGCTCTGTGGCGTTTACTGAAGATCATGAATGCATTCATGGGACGGCGAATGTGGTCCTTTTCCCTCTGGTAGGTGTTTGGAAGAGGACAGCACATTTAGACATGTATGGTTAGCTGTGGAAGTGATATTCAAAAAGCATTTGCCATTTTTACTAACTGACTGTCTGCATGGTTGACTGACCTTCCTGTCTCCATCCTTGGGCAGAGCGCTGAGGGACTGCGTGCGTCTCTTCATGGGGCCAGTGGAGGGCGCTGGATCGTTGGCCACACCCGGGGAGAACCTGCATTCGCACACGGAGATAAAGTGAAACTGTGAGTCTAGAAGAGATGGAAAGTCAAGGGAGATTCCTACTGTGAGGGACTTCCAGGACAGAGAAGGGTTGTGAAGAATTTAGGAAGAATGATACAGTCCTCATTTATTTAGATATTGTGTTAAAGAGTGTGGAGTCTACTCGAATTGATCCAACTCTGTTTTTCAAATGTCCTCACTATATTGCACACCTTTGTGGTTCCATGAAGTTCAATTTGATGTACAGTAAGCACTAAACCAGTATGACATGTTATGTTGTATACACTGCTGCTTATAGTGGTTACCTGCAGACACCTGTTTTTTTAATTGATTCTGCAACACGCAGCCCAGAGAGAGATCACATGTCAGCCAACCAGAATAGTGTTTTCCCTTTGTCTTCCTGACTTTCTTATGACTTAATTTACTGTTAATGTAATGAACACACTTTCTTTATATGTTCAGCCATCAGCAATGTGGATGCTAACTACTGAGTTTATTTATTCAGTTGATTCCACAGAATCTGCTGTTTCTACTACTAATACATTGCACTCCTGGAAACTTGCAAGCCAAGTTTCCAGGAAAAAGCAACCAGACACAGAGTAAATAAAAAAAAAAATCACAAACTGGGTTAAGTTTCACTGGAGAAACTGATATAGACAAAATAGACATTGGTTTGTTTACAAATTCTTATTACGATTTCAATAATAGCACAGTTTATATTAGTGATGACACTTGCACAGAGCCAATAACAGAACATGAGTAAGAGACATAAATCAAGACAGATAAAAAAGGAAGAGGGCCAACAAAATACAGACACAAACAATTAGAGACAATCAGAATGCAAAATCTTGTTTTCACAGATTAGGTTTGTGCAATTCCCTTTGAATCATGCACAACGTACTTCCCAGCTATTAGTGATAGAGCAAGACTGTCTAATAAGTCAGTGGTGAATAAACCTGGATTAATGTTTTTTTTTAATGTTTCAATTGTGAGCATAACAGTTATAAACACTAGAAATGTCTTTTGAAACTGTGAAGTGTCAGACAGAACGTTCTGTCTGACTCTGACTCTGTTACTGACTGAACTCGGTGTCAAACCGTGACTACATGAATATGGCGGGGATTTTTGCCTTCTTGTCTAGTTTTACTAAAGCATTTTTATTAAATACAGCACATAATACAGCAAAGATTATATAAAGCAAAAAAAAGCTAAAGAGTAACACGCACAGTGTCCACAAAGGCAGAAATGAAGCTGTGGGACACAATAACATACAATGTCACAATTCCCAGAGCAATCATAGTCAGGGAGATTTGAGTTACGTGAGAGTTTGGTTGTGGTTAAGTCAGATGTGCTATTTGTGTGCATGTTTACAGGCATATGAGTGAACGCGTGAGTGTGGGTGGTGTAAAAGCTCTCCTTGTTGTGAGAAACAGGAACCATCATGGGAGACATAACATGGTGACAGAAGGCTTACTGAACACCTTCAGCAAACTATTCAAGGAAACTCCACACTTCTCTCAGTATAGGACCACACCACAGCATTAGAACGTACTTCTGCCAGGTGATGTTGTACAGTAGTATCAGTGTGTACCAAAGTAACTATACCCCGGAACTAGGAACCTTTGGAGGAACTCACTGTTTTTCCACCCGAGGGACCAGGGTCTAAATGTAGTTCTAGGGTCTTTAGTTTAACCCCCAAAAAGTTCCTGCTCAGGGTAGTACTTTCCAAAAGTACCGGTACTTTGGGGGGGTGGGGCTTGCTTTGCAGTGAAATGGGCAAGTAGAGGCTACTGGCTTTAACTAGAGAATGTCGGGTGATTTTCTACGACTGCTCCTCTCTTTTCCACTGTTGTTTGCAAACCAATAAATCACAATTAACAGTCAAATAGCACACATGTCTCACCAATGTCTGCCTGAGATTAAACGTCGGCATTAAATGTAGGCTATTGTTCGGAAATAGCAGCCTGCCTGCTACGCTAGTTACGCTAAATACTGGTCCAGAGTTGTTGTTTTAAGTTTTCATCAGTCAGGAAGTTTTTACACAGAGCCGAGGTCGGTCTCCTCCTCTCCAAAACAAACGGAACTTTGGATTACAGCAGATAATAAAGCTCGTTAAAATCCCGTTCCTCTGACGCGGGCGGACACAGATGTGAGTCCTGCTGCTGATCTGCTGCTTGTCGGCTAGAAATGTTGTAATAACCTTCCAAACTGTCACGATATTATTTTATATTTTAAGAACTTTATGGCTTTATCCCGTTTGTTATTAAATGTGTAAAAACTTTATCGTTTGTCTCTCCATTATACTCCCACACAAAAAAGCTGCTTTAATGGTCACGCAAAGCCTTTACTTTTTCATTGTATTCCAGTCAAATCTGACGTTCATTTATAAATGTTGCTCATTGAAAATGGTTACAAATAATGATGTCTGTGCATCGCTTTGTACGATGTATAGGCCTACAGCCTATGTCAGCTGGTTAATTTCTAACTAATCTTCGCAGGTCTTTAGACCACAGTGGAAACGCACACAACAGTGGGCTGAAGGAACCTGTTAGTTCCTTGAAAAGAGATCTAGGGACTAAAAAGTTGGTATTTTTGGTCAAAACTGGCTCACTAATAAAATAAAATATCATTTTTATTAATGCTACTGGTCTCTCCATTGAGATGTAGCCAGATAACAGGTGTAACCCCTGCAACATTCAGAGACTGCTGAAGGATTTCTTTTTGTGCTCCCAGTGATGGCAGATCTGTTTGGAGCCGCCGTCACTGTGAGCACAGTGACCCTGAAACATTCAAAACCACACTACCAGCCAGACAGCCACGCAGCCCTTCTGAGTCACTCTGAAAGAGCAATAACCCAGCCAGACGCAGAGACGCAGCCTGAGACTGAGTGGAATAAGCGGGCACAGACTGTACAACTCTTGCCAAACACACACACTGATGCAGCTGGTAGAACAGTTGTTTGTTGTTGTTTGTTTCGTTAGAATTTTGCTGTCAAAGGTGGATTTCAGTGCACCTGTTCGGAGCGTAGCGTCTTAGAGAGTTTTAAATCTGGTGACACAAACTGCGCCGACAAACTGTGTCTAATATATCTACTGTTACTATGTGCCTTCTACTGAGTCATACCCAGAGTTGCAGAAAGGAAACGCAACGTATGAAGTGAACATAATTTAAATGTAGCACCTAAACAAGTTATGATTATTTTTAGAGAACAGAAGGTTAGCTTAAGAACTTGGTTGACAACAGGATTGTTTTTTTGGTTTGGTCTTTTGTGCTTCTGCATATTTTAAATATATGGAATAATGAAATATAGCTATAGACAATTTATTTTGTAAAAGGTACATATAATTTTGTAAATGAACATTAAGATTTTACAAAAAGACCCAAAACGTAGTTCAAGTAGGGATCAAATCAGAAATATGCAGCTTGCTAATAATAATTATAATTAATTATTTAATAATTAAAAGATACAATGTTAATGAATCTTTGCTACTAAATAAACACTTCACTTCAGTAAGTCAGTGAGTTTTATATGTGACAGATATAAATTACTGCACTTGCATGAACTAATTTTGGATAGGTTGGTCTGGTTGTTTCCTGTGTCTGATTGGTGGACTGTCATCATTTCACAATGTGGTCAATGTTCTAAAGCGCTACTCTACACCTGAATTTCAATCAAATCTCTTATTTCTTGTGCTTCTTCCTCTGAGCAATACACTGTTTTATTCAGCTATGTTAATTAAAACATTTACTTTTTTGTTCCAAAAATGAAATTTGCATACAAAATTCACAACATCAAGCACCATGTTAAGCTCTCTGGTCTTGATAATACCAGGGAAGAGGAAAAAACCAGCTAAGATAAAATCCCCTTAAAAACCCCCAACCACTTCATACTTACGGGTCATCTGTATCGCTCTCTGTCTCGCTGTCAGCTACGCCCCTGTCTGTAGGAGGATTATCATTGGTCGGGGGAGGGCATGATGGAGAACCCCTCTCTAGGTCTGGAGGACCGGTTCGCCCGTCGCTCACCAGGGCCACAGCGCAACGAGGCTCTGAAAAATTAAAGCCATTTGTATGCCAGTTAGTGACAAGCGTTAAGAAAGTAAGCTTCAGTGCCACATGTGTAATAGCAGGGCTACCTTTCATACAGCTTGTTGACGGATAGCTCTACTCTGGCCAACTGAGTGTGGGAGGTGTGAGAAGCTCTGACTACATCTTTGCTATAATCTGTTGCAGCAGTAGTAAGAGTAATACTTCATATAGAGATGAAGAATGTTCACATGTAAAGGAAATGTTCCCTCAAGGGTTTAGTGACTACATCGATACATAACAGAGTACTGAAATGGCTTTTTTTATTTATATACTGTAGATGTTTGTTAACAAAGGTTTATTGTAGCCATTTAGTGAGATTGCATCCTTTTACTGTATTTGTACAGACTAGACTTAGAACTTAGCCAAAAGTTTTTGTACCATCTATTTAGATGGAAAAATGCTAAGAAGACTGTATATGAAGGGTGATTTCTTAAAACATATCCACCAAGTTGGTTTTATCTTTTATGCTCATATAAATAACAAACTTCTTTTAGAAGTAAGCTAGTTTATTTAACAGTCTAGAACTGAAATAATTAGTCAATTTACTGATTTGTCCACTGACAGAAAAATAATCACCATTTTACAAGCAGAAACTATTCACTGGTTCTGGTTTCTGAGATGTGAGGGCTTGTAGCTTTTATATATTTCAGCACATCAAATATCATTGTGTTTTAGATTGCTGGTCAGACTAAACAAGCATTTTAAGATAGGACCTTGGTCTCTGAGAAATTGTATCTCCTCTTTGCTGACATTTCATGGATTAAATGATTAACCAATATTTGTATCCCTAGAAAAGAAAGATAAAGACCTAAATTAATGCCTCATGAAGATCTGTGAAAAAGAAAATGTGTTCAGATAACTGCCTGTCCCCACCAGTCAAAATTAGTCTCTGAATAAATTTTAGCACTCCAGTCAATAAAAAGTGTTATCAACAATGTTACTGGAACTATATTGGTGTGAACACCAACTGTGCTGATTTGCAATTCAGTCGCAACTGTTTTGGGAAACACTGACTTGGCTGCTGGTATGTCCAACCAACATTTGTATTGGCTGTGTACTGGAGTGTTTTGGCAGTCGTTGTTTGAGAAACACAGCCCTGTTTCCTGTTATGATTATTATATTGTGGGAAATATCTGTTTATAATATAGAGTTATATATATTTGGGTACAAGCAGTCAAATTAGCTCTCTGTTTCCTTTCCCAGGTGATAAGTGATGTTGTCTTGTACAGAGAAAAGGAGTGGGGCCATTTGCTACCTTTGCTCTGATTGACAAGCTGTTGGCCATCAGCAGGCTGGGCAGCCGCTCCTGATTGGCTGGGCTCCAGGAAAGGGACGAGTGAATGCCAAGGGAACACTGGCACCGACCGAGGCTCCACGTTGGTCCAAACTGTGGGAACGCGAAGGGAGAGAGAAAAGAGAGAAAAAGTGAAATGTCATCATGTTTATCCATCTCAGTATCATGGACTGTAGACAGAAGGTAGCGCTCTGCCCTCTGGCAGCATGTGAAAGCCTATGTGATCGTCAGCCAGCGATGAGCTAAAGCGCTACTAAAAACTACACTTTTATAGAAACTGCCAGAGTGAAGACCATGAATGGAGTTATGTATTCAGTCACCTACTCGGCCCCCCCTCTCCAACACACACACACACACACACACACACACACACACACAGATCATCCCTCAGGATAATGTGAGTTTTGAGGGGTCATGTGGCGTGTGATGGGATGAGGGAACCTGTTATTTTATCCACAGAGATTCCAGGCTCCAGACTACTCGCTGTCTAGACTGCTGCCACACTGCTGCCACACTGCTGCCGAGCTTCAGACTCTGAACTGAACTGTCTCTGCAGCAGAAACCATTTCAGGAAAACAGAGTCTACAGAGTCCAGGTTTAATTTATAAACAGAAACCTATTAATACCGTTTAGATGGGTTATATGGTTACAACCTTAATATTAGACTTTTCCTTATACAGATATACAGTATATCACAACATGCATGCAAAACCACATATAAAGTTATTAAACTTAAGAACCACTGTTGCACTACACACCAATAAAAGTAGTCAGTGTCAAATGAAAACCATGTATCTCCACCACTTTGGTCCATATTGAAATGACTCAACAACTATTTGGTAGACTGCCATGAAATCTTGGACAGGCCTTCATGGTCCCAAGAGGACAAATCCTAAAAACTTTCCCTTAACTGTTCACCTAGCGCCACCATCAGGTCAAATTTATCCTATATTTTGGTTTACGACGATCTGCAGAACTACTAACATTCCCATCAGCCTCAGCTGTACTTTGTGATTAGTGTGAATTAACAAATGTTAGCATGCTAACACGGTAAACTAAGATGGTGACCATGGTAAACATTATACCTGCTAAACATCAGCAGGTTAGCATTGTGGTTGTGAGCATTTAGCTCAAAGCACTGCTGTGCCTAAGCATTAGCCTCACAGAGCCGCCAGCATGGCTGTAGTCACTTTAGTCCTGTTCAGATAAACTTAAGGATTAAATGTTAGATAAATATTTCTTCAGCTACATAAATTGTTTAAAAACCTGTTTGCTTTTCAGAAAAAGCATTGTCACTTAGCGGAAAACTGTGGCTTTTTTCTTAGCTGATAAAAAGTTGACACTTGGGATACATGGTACATGGTTTAGATAGGACAGCAAAGATGTTTAAAACAAATTAGTAGTTTATTATTTATATTTCCTCAGAATCACCCAATATGTTCATATCATCATGATACAACTCCCCTGAAAGCTCTACTACTGCAAATACTACCACCACTACTTCTGTGTTGCTACTATTACTACAACTGCTAATTTTACCACTACTACAAATACCAGTACTACTACTATTAACTTCAGGGAACTCCGCAAGTGCTACAACAACCACACCTATTACCACAAATTCCATCACTACTGCGTTTTTGGATATTTCTACTTTGGAAATGAGTCTAATAGTTAATGGTGTGTCTGTAAATTTGTATGAGGGAGATTTCAGCTCTCCTCCCCTGACTGCAGTATTCCACATATATCTAGCCTGCTGGAAATAAACTGGCTATGAACTCTACTGCAGCACTGCAATGTCCAGTTTCAGTTTCCATGAATAATTTTATAATAAAGTATTAAAATGGTCTATTTATAGCAAACCATTCGCCAGCTATGGCTCATCTAAAATGGAGATTCAGACACTGCTGAGCTAGACAACGACGAAAATGTAAATATGCCCTGGCTGGATGTAGTGTTGGTGCTGTTGGTTATGCACTCTGTTCAAGAAGTTCTCTTTTGGAAACTACTTCTGGTATCACATGACTATTATCACTGTGCTCTGACCTTTGCACTCATTACTTACTGGCAGTTTAAGCTGCTGTTTGCACAAGGAACTTCAGCTGAGGAAGTGAGGCTTATTCAAATGTTTTACACGCCAGAGGTTGCTTTCTTAAGGGGGGAAAGACCCAAAATAGTACTCATAACATACATTATTGTAAAAAAATATATATATATCATTTTGCTTTCCTCCTAATTTGATCATCTACAGGTAGGTCAGAGATTCAAATTCACATATACTGAAGCAGCTTTTAAGCTTGTAGGGATTTAATTTCTTGCTCAAAGACACATCACCAGTAAAGCCCAACCGATATTTGGGAGTTAAATGTCATAACCATGTATGGGACTAAAGTATTTATTTAACAAAAATCAACACTCCTGATAGAGCTCCCTTTGGTCTTTTTTTTTTAATGAATTGTGACCAAGACAAATACTAAGCAAAACATTTTACAGTTGAAAAATGAACATGTCAGTTCTCTTTGGTGTAATATAATGGAGACACTATTTCTAAATAACCTCAAAACGATCATTTATCGACCAACCACTACCACAAACAGTATCTGCAAAAAGCTAATGTTATGTTATTACAGGCCTGCGGCAGCCATAGATATAGGATTTATTATTCTTTTTTCCCCACAGACCATTTGATTTATTGATTGAGAATTTCAACAAATACAGAAACAATGCTTCTGAAATACATTACCTACCCTAGCTTTAATCATTAATAATGGAAATAAAGAAACTATGTTGGCAGAAACAGACTGTTTCCAAATGTATCTGCCAAATGACAGTTCTGGGATTAATTTGAGCAGTGCAACAGGAAATGTTTATAAGCTCATTGCTATATTAACCCAGTCACGGATTATTGTAACAGTGAAGGTACATGAGTCAGAATGTCATCCAGTGGAAGTGCAAAATCAACATTCTTCACTGTTTCCACCCACAGTTGTGGTCAAATAACACACAGTTACTATTTTGTCTGCCTTACTTTCCAGCTCTGCCTCAACCAAATGTAACAGCATCCAGATTAAAATGAAAACAAAATCAATAAAATTAAACTTACAGCAGGTGACATTTCAGCACTTTTCAAAAGAACAAAGCAATATTCAACAGTTCTTATTGTCAACAAATCCTCAGAAAAGTAAGAATGAACTGATGACAGACACACATTATCTGTTTTAGACGCCTGATTGACTCTGCGCCACAGAGCTCCATTTCTATTCCTTTCGAAAACAATTAAAAGCACATCAGCAAGCCACATCGTTGGACTGGGTGACATTTGGCTTACTTGCAATGGACACGGGCACTGTAATTTAGTTTAAATGAATCTGACACGCACCATCCTACAGTGCTCCTGTAATTCCCCACAAGAACACCAAATGTGTATTAATCCACCGCCAAAAATAGTCCCTGACAAATGCATGATTTACTCCCGTTTGAGTAAGGTTTGCTAAAAACTACAGTGCCCAGCAGTTTTAGGAAATTACTGAGCTTTTTAAAAAATTAAACTACACACTGGTGACAATTGGCTTTAGATGCCACAGACTGGGGAAGTCGGAGAGAGAGACACTCTTTTGAAAGACCTGCTGACACCCTGAAGAGGCATGGCATGAATATTCCAGGGAAGCACTGACAGTGATGAGTTGTGAAATATCAGAGACAGAAACACTGCTTGGATTTCCATCAGTCTCTATTGGTTTACTTGAAGTGGTGACAGTGATGACTAGCGAGAGGCTGCAATCATAAAGAAATACACCTGATGGGATGAACAGCTGTCTTTTCACGCTTTCAAGTGGGAAAATTATGCTACTCAACTGATATCCACCTGTTCTATGACTACACATTACTACCACTGGAGAAATTTCCAAATCATTTCTCCAGTCAGAGCAAAAAGAAATAATACAGTTCCTGAGCTATGTAACAAGATGGGTCCTCAGCTACATCTGAGCTCTGATCTCTTCCTCACTGAAGGCTGCAGATGTACTCAAAGAGAGCAGTAATGAAACTTGTGATGCTAATGCATCTGCACTTGAGCTGGGCTATATATAGGAGAGATCTCAGCCGCGGGGGCTTCACTGCCGTCTGAATGTGTTTGTTTCTGGGCCCACTGTGGCTCTAGGTGCTTTTAAAAATGTATGGTGGAGGAAACATTACGCTACAGACGCAGGTGGCTGTTAGCAGTGCGAGGGATGTGAAAGGGAGAGAGAAATAAAAGCGCGCTCCGGTAATCAGCTCAGGCCTCAACGCTTTACTGCGTTAATTGTACCGGTGGAAACAGTGTATCCATGACAACACGCCAGCAATACAATTACTCCTTTTTCTTCTGAGAGTGATGAAACACATTCACATCATGCTGGACCTGCCCTTGATGCCCTGTCTGAGGTTGTTGATTGTCTGGAACACTGAGTTGAGTGTGTGTGTGTGTGTGTGTGTGTGTGTGTGTGTGTGTGTGTGTGTGTGTGTGTGTGTGTGAGGTGGGGGGGGTGGAGAAGGAGAAGGAGGAGGTGTGAATGTCCTTGTTGCTCTCTGCACTCCCGCTCTTAGTCTTGCATGTCTAGACATGTCAATATCCTTTTAAAGTTTCTGTGCAACACCCCTTATCTCTCTTTCACACACGCGCGCAAATGCGTATATATGAAAAGGGTGACACCCCTTGCACACGCACACTCACAATCGCACACAAGCACACTCAATAACTCTGACACTACACACACTGAGTCACAGATTACACACAATGAGCAGCAGGTCTGATACATCAAACCTTTTCTGATCATCACGCCTCAGAAGAAAAAGGTTTCACTCTGCAGTCATCTTTACCACATGAACCAAGTCACAAAATTATCGTTCAATCAGAAAAGAGGTTATGAAAAACTAAACATTAAAATTTAGAATTCAAAGATCCTCATGATAGAAATCTGCTACTTTGGACACTTGTATTAATGGATATAAACAAATTTTCTGTAACTACAACCATGCCAGAATGTGTTTCCTGAATGTGTAGGACTTGTATATTCTACATTTTGTCAGTATGAAATGTGAAACCGAACAACATATAAATTGCCAATAAATATCTAAGACAAATCCATGTACATTTACTACACTCCCAGTTTTCAGTGTTGTGTTAAAATATCACAAAATGCATCAGAAGATATATCATGCATTTCAAATGGAAACCATCGTCCTTATTCATACATTCAAAGTAACATTTCTGAGTTTTGACTGTAATATTATGAGGTTGGCATGGAAACAAGCATAGAGTATATGATTAACCCAAACACCTCTATTTCTCAGTGGCCATTTTTTTTATATCTAACACTGTGCAGACAAAGTACAAAATATTCCAAAATACATGCTTTGAAAAAGGGTACACAAAACTGCTGGTATGCATCAACCACATTCATTCTCCCCCCAAACAACACTGTGCTCCTTCTGACATTAACAGTACGTCTTGGATTTTGTAGAGAGTTGCCTTATGGTAATGAAGGAAAATTAACAAAGATGTATATGAAATGTACACTCCCTAGAATACCAAAACCAGTATGCAGGACCTGAAATGAATTGAAGCTTGGGTCAAAATTAATGTTCATAAAATGCCAACAACTTCATTTATAATTTATTGACCTGTGGCTTTTCTTTTTTTTTTGCTGTCAGTATAATATTAATGAATGCAAGTACGTTCCCGCTGTCCACTGTGGCTGATTTTATGGGAGCCATTGATAAAATTCACATCAAGTCAATTTTATTTATTTAGCCCAATTAGAGGTGCAGATTCAGATTTTTTTTAAAAGGTCTGACTTGGATCTGATTATGGCCAATTCCAATTTTGTTTCTTTCTAATAAGTATAACTGACAGCATCCAAAAACATTTTTGTAACTTTTCTTTCTTATTTCTTATTTTTGTAAATTCTTACTTTCTTTGCACCAGCACAAGCAATGGCGATTCTTCTTGGGGTCCATTTAATAGTATATTCATAATAAAGCATTATTATTAAATAATACATTTTGTTAAATAACTTTTAAATTTTCTCGAAAACTGCACCAGGTTACGGGAGCTTCTCTCCCTCAAACACATCTCAAAATAAAAGGTGCTCTAGGTTAGCCTACTGGTCAGAGCATTTTTATACAAATAAAATCCAGCTGAAAATAAACTGCAGTATAACACAGCTCAGTGTCTCCCACAGAATGACAGTGTAACTCTGGGGGCAAAGAGGGTATATTTGTATAGGTTATTTCTTATCTCACCATTTTAATTCTACTTAATTCTCCACCTTATTTTAGTGTTTACTTACAAACTACTCATCTTGCTTTTTCCTTCAGACACAGACACACCAATAGCTGACTCTCTCTGTCTCTCTCTCCCTGTATCCAACATAATACCAAATAATTTCTCTCCCTCTCTGTTTATATGCTGGCAAGCGTTAATATATCTGGGTGGTCTGCACAAGTAAAGTCGGTGTGGGAAACTCTGCTTATTTTTGCCTTTCATGTTTACAAATTGGGAGCGCTGTGTCTTCTTCACTCACAGTGAAGAACTTTCATGAAACATTTTCCTTTTAGTGTGTGTGTGTGTGTGTGTGTGTGTAGATGTGACAATAGTCGGTTACTGTCTGTGCTGCTGTGTGCATGACGTGAAACACAGGCACAGGATATGGCTGATTAAGCTGAAAAGAGTCCATCTCTAAGCCAAATATCACAAATCACAATTTGCCTCAAGGGGCTTTACAATCTGTACAGCACACAACACGCTCTATCCTTAGACCCTTAGAGCAATTGTTTACTGAGTGCTATTGGTAAAATAGCCTTTCTTTTAAAAGTATGCGGCAAAAAGCAACATTTCTCATACTCTTACATGTACATTTACTCATTTGGCAGATGCTTTTATCCAAAGCGATATTTTTACTTTTTCTCATGGTTTATTATAATAAACAAATTGGGAAAATTTTGTTTTTGCCAAATACATGCCTATTAAACATAAATTTACAACTCCAAATGCTCCAAGGGGGCAAAAAAAACATCTGTGGATACTATCTTAAATTGCAAGCAAACAACAGTACTGTGTACATGAGTCGTAGCCACTGCACTCTGATGACACTCCTATAACCCTAAAGAAGCACTACGCTTCAGCTTGCACATCCCTTCCTACTTTACAATGTGGCAGTGTCGCTCAGCAAACTGCATCTGACGCGAATGAAGCCACAATACCACAATGATCCCTTATTCTCTCTTCCTATCCTCCCTTACCAGTCCCTGGACGTCCCATGATGATCTGCTTGCGTGGAGCAGGGTGAGGCGACTCAGCTGGCAATATAAGCGGCAGCAGGGCAGTAGGCGTTGGGTGACATGCTACCGGCTGTGGCAGGGCCCCTCCAGAGGCATCCTGGTGTCCCTCAGGTTTCCTCTCTCTCTCCCTGCCTCCAGAACCAGAGGAGGACAGGACTGAGCTCGATGAAGTGGGCATCGACCCAGGGGTGGAGGGGCTGGACAGGGCAGTGTGGCCCACTGTGGCTGGAGTCAGGGACTGGGAGGGGATATCAAAAATGTATTTTTAGTATACACTGAGAACTGGCTCTTAGCAATAACATAGTAGATATATATTCTCTTTCAAAATGATATTTAACTGAAACCCCTGCGACATAATCGACTTATCTGCTGTTGATCCATATGTTCAGTATGTTCCATACACTCCATTAGAACCGCTGTAAATCAAAGCTGACTTACAGCAAGCCACAAATTTTTGAGGGCCACCTATCACGATTAGTATTTGATTCTTAAAATAAAGATTTTCAGTGGACTATTCTTTTAATTCACTGACAAAATCACAGAGATTATACATCACCCACGTGACAAAATCAAAACAACAGTGTCAGTGTAGATGGTCACTTTTGCAAGATCAACCTTTGACCAACAGCATAATACTGTATCACCAAAAAGGAAATTGTAACAAGCATTCTTACATCATCTTACTAAAAATATGTAATACTATTTAATGAATGTTCTAAATTTTTTACGGCCACAAAAAATAAAGTGACTCCCTTACCGAGCTGGAGGTGACCAGGACAAGTGTGGATGTAGGGTTGCGCAGGAGAACTGCACCGTTGGTGGTGGCCCCGTTGATGGGGACAGGGACCTGCAGGCCTGGAGGAGCTGTATGTTGGGGCTGGCTGTGCTCTCTGGACCTGCTTTTCTCTCTCCTTCCTAACGGGCCATCAGAGAATTTGGCCAGGGGGACATCTGGGTTGCGGACAATGACTGGGGAATCGCGAAGGGGCACAATCCGCCGAGGGGAGGGTTCCTGGGGCAGCGGGGAGGGAGGAGTGGGCGAGACCAGCATGGGTGGAGGTGTGGAGGCAGCAGAGGATGGTGGCCTGCTGGTGGCGCTACGGGGCCGGGGAAAGGAAAGTGAAGAGGGGGTTGTGGGCTGACTCTGGGGGGAAAGGACTCTGAAGGCGGCAGGACTGTGGCCCACGTTTGGGTCTCCCACCACCCCTCCCCCTATGCCCACCAGCTGCTGTTGCTCAGGTTTGGTCTGGTAGTCCTGGACTGCAGGCAGTGGAGGGGGTGGGTGTGTGTCGAGCTTCCTCTTGCTGGGGCTCATGGGGACTGTAAAAGTGAGGTTGGTCTGAAAAGTGGGTACAATCCCTGACAGGTGGCGCTCTCTCTCAGCCCCTGGTGTGCCCATCTTAGTACCGCTAAGCTGCCGATGGCGGCGTGGAGGAAGTGAGGCAGAAGCAGTAATTGGGCTGAAATTGGCAGGGCGAAAGCCAAAGAGCGGAGAGGGTGAGGGTGATGGGGTAGGGGAGAAGGGCGACTGGTTGGAGATAGGGGAGAATGATGGCGTGCCTGAGCGGGAGCCCCCGAGGGAGACCAGCATGGTCGCTGCCTCACACTCATCAAAATCAAAGCGAGAGAGGTCCTGGGGGAGCAGAGAGGGAAGGACCAAACGGGGGCGGGAGTCTCCTCCACGGCTGCTAGCCTCACTACTTTCCCGTGAGGTCTCATCCCAGTCAAACTCAGAGCTTGCTCTCCCACCGCTCAGTCGGAGGTCGGATGGTGTCAGGGTCCCTGTGCTGCTGGCTCCACCCCGTTCCCGGCCGCCTCCACTTGCTTCCATCTCCTTGGTCCTCATTGAGAGGTGTCTTGAGCAGTATCCTCGGCGCTGGGACTCTTTAGAGCAGCCCTCCCTGGAGCACAGCCTCCTCCACTGTTTCCCATTGAATTTCTTACGGATGCCTGTTGGCGTGCACACCACATCTCCCTTCTTGTACTTTTGCTGGGCAGCTGTCAGTGGGGTGCGGGAACGTGAGGAAGAGGTTGAACATGATCCGGATCCACTGCCACCGCCTGCTCCCCCACTGGTAGACCCTCCTCCCGAGGCCTTCTCTACTCTGGAGGAGGATGCTGTGGAAGATGAGATGGGAGGGAGAGGAGGGAGCTGGGGGGTGGCAATGACAGCACCAGCTGCTGCAGCTGCTGCGGTTGCTGGGTCAAGGCCTAACAGGACAGGTGAAGGAGGAGGATGAGGGTTCAAGGTCAGGTGCGCAGGGGGGATCCCGATGCCCCGAACCACAGACAGGTGCGGATTGAGGTAGCCAGGCGGGGGCTTAGAGACTATGTGGCGGTGTTGGGGAACTGCCATTGGTTTGACCCCAGGTATGATCGCCCCCATTGGGACCATGTTAAAGTGGGACACCTCCATGTCTTCTTCGGGGGTGAGTGGCATGTATGGGTGGTGTTGCTGTTGCTGCTGCTGCTGCTGCTGTTGCATTGCACTGTTCTCCCTTTCTCGCTCTCTTTCCCTCTCTCTATCCTGTTTTCTCTGTAGGTCCCTCTCTCTCTCCAAGTCTTTCTCAATTTCCCACTCTCGGCCAGGAACGAGGCTGAGGACGGACACTGGGGTTACTGGGGAGGCAATGTTGTGGCCCGCTGTGGAGGACACAGGGACCATGCCTGGGTAGGGCATGCCTCTCCCCAACACCGACCCCACGCTGGGTGTCAACCCCCTGCTCAAACGACACACCTCCTGCTCCACATCCATCTCCTCCCTGTCCTCCCGTTCCCTTTCCTTGTCTCTGACCCCCTCTTCAACATCTCGTCCTCCTCCAGAAGGCAGATCCAGGTCCCATGGTGGCACCAGAAGCCGGAGTGTTTGTCGGGAGACCCACACTGCCTGGGTAGCAGCAGCTGCCCCTCTGCCATCCTCTTCCTCGTCCGCAGAGTGAGATCTTTCCTCAGACAGCAGGACACGGTAGCGGTTGGCCACTGCAGGGTGTGTGTCCACCTGGGTCACCACACCCTCTCGGTACCACTGCCACTGGCCCTCGCTGCCCTCCTCATTGCCAAATGGCACGCAGACGCGGGTGCCCATAGGTATTGGATGAACACCGGGGGGCGGGGCATCAAGGATAATGTCCACCACCCCTGGGGGGCTGTCATGTTGATACGGATAACGGCACAGCGTCTTCTCCCCATTGAGTTGTACCTCCAGGCTTCCAAATTCACCGCTGACCTTACGGACCACCCCAGCCCGGAACACCAAGTCTGAACTCCTTCCTTCATCCCTTTCACTACCTCCCTCCTCGTCACTTCTTGTCCTAAGCTGGCGGGCGAGGACACGCTGATTCTTCAGCCCTTTGGCCAGGGCATCCGACAGAGCATCAGGGAGAGTGGGTGGTGCATGTGTAGACATCTGTGTAGGGGTATGTGTGTCGCCGACTACCTCCAGGTCAGCTGAGTGCTCACTGGCGGTGTCTGTTGAGGAACAGCGAGGCAGGGGACTGGGCGACACTCGCTCTGCATCTCTTACCCCTTCACCTCTTCCAGGTCTTTCCCTCTCCCCTCCCAGTGACAGGGGTGGGGGTCCTGGAGAGTTATCCTGAGGCCCATCCCTGCCAGTGGTCCTGCTGTGGAAGTTGTCCATCAGGCTCCGACTGTGATTGTTGCCATCAGGGTGCGAGACACAGATGTCACTTCCTGAACCCGTTAACTCATGGTTGATGATCCCACCACTAAGAGGAAGAGGAGGGGGCGTGCTGGAGGAAGGGTTGCTATGGTTACCAGTGGTAGACGAGCAGTGTTCAGACGTGTACTTTTTCTTGGGAACGCGAGCCTTGAAGGTGGCTGTTTTTCGGCTTGAGGCGGGGTTTGGGCTGTTGTTGGCGCTTGGTGTACTACTGTTACTACAACTACTACCACCACTGTCACTGTGGCTGCTGCCACTCACAACTGACCTCCCGGATCTATCATCTGAGGATGTCAAAAATTTCCCAGAATTCATTACAAGGGATACTGTCGTCTCTGACAGCCCTTCTCTGTGAATCCCCTCCCCCTCTAAGGTGTCCCGTGCTCTGATTGGGTCTGCCTGAGGGGACTCCGAGTGTGAATTAGAAGAAGAGGGTGTTCGATTTTGTGGGGATCTGCTTCTGTTTCTGTTTTCATCCGAATCTCTCTTCTCCCCTCCTTCTGGGGCATCCCCCACTCCGCGGCGCTTCCCCCCTTTGGCCCGAGTGGAGGGAGGAGAGCGCCGGCCCTGCTTTTTTATCGGCTTCATCTTTTCATCTAGCTTGCCTTTTCTCCAAACAAGTCTTTTTATTTATTTATTCCAGAGATTCTCTTTGGCGTTCCTCCCTTGCTCTGCCTCGTTTTTGTTCTTCTTCCCCCTCCTTTCTATTCTCTCTATTTTCCTCCTCTGCTGGGGCCTCTCTCTCCCATCCTGTCTTGTCTTCGTTGTGCGACTTCGGCACTTGCCCACCTTATTCCAGAAACTGAAAGAAAGAGAACAGGGAGTGTGGGTTACTCATGTGGCAAACACATTCAGACATGCACAAAGCCATGCAAGATAACTAACTAACTGCATGATTTTGAGAGGAAAAGTGACTGACTGTATCAAAATCAAACATCTATGAAACATTAAAGTAACATCAAAGTAACTCAAAATAAAATCACAGCAAGTGTGACTTTGTGAGGTTAGGCATTATAAAAAATTTGAATAATAAACCGTTAAACATTAATTTTATGAAATGTATTCCCTGTTAAATGATGCACCATCGTACTACAGTAGTAATGAATATGACTCATCTACAAATTCATTACACATTAATTCATTACATAACAGGCTCTACTCACATTACACAAGACCTGCATCCATACCAGGTACATATTGAAAACAGGAGGCCATATCGTAGGGTAAACAACAATTTCAACTTACAACACAGTATGGAAATAGTGAGAAGCAATTTGCCCAGACAAGCCTTTCTGCATGCACTCCTCTCTCTCACACACACACACATACACTACTTCTTGGCCGGGGCAGTAGAGGCGGGGGAATTCCTTCTTCGCTCGCATACTGAAACCCTCCCTTTTTGTCTCTCTTACTCTCTCTCTCGGTGGCGACCTTTATCTATGTATTTCAAAGCAGAGTCAATCCGCCCCTACAAACTCCATTTCCTGTGGAAGACCATTACCTAACTTCCCGTTACTTTATTCCTCCCTCTCTCTTTGCTACTATTACACTTTCATTCTTATCCCCTGCCTTCATTCTCTCGTCTCTCTCTAATATTGATTTCTACCTCTCATCTCCGTCTTTCTTTCCTCTCCTTCCACTTAGTCTCTATCCTCATTTTGTGCTGCAGTCATCCAGAAAAGCAGTGTTGTTCCGAATAATTGTTATTCCACACCAGAGCTATTCAGTATCACTCTTGGCCATGACAGAGTCATTCAGAATATCGCCTATTCCACACCAGACTCATTCACAGCTCTGCCTCCATTTATAAAGTAAAATAGATTAATTTTACTGACTTGTTGAACAGGGGACCGTTGTCATTTAACTGGTTTGTTTGTGTGGGAGTTACACACGGGACTTGGTCCTAGCTGCTGTATGCTCTGCCTCATTTCTTCCAAAACAAGAGTCTCCACGCAGCTATGAGAGCAAGAAAGATGTTTGTAACAAGTGTATAAGAGGGAGAATCAAAACACCTTTTTTATACGGCGTCACCTTCTTGAAATGTCTCACTCCTACTGTGATATTCCCTGTCAAAATGTTCTGGATTGATGTCTGTCAACCACCACTCGGCATGTCTACTTGTCAGTGACAGTCTGTTAACTTGCATGTCTGCCTGTCTGTCCCTGTTTCTACATCCATCCTCCCACCAGTCTCTTTCTCTCTGTCAGCCTGTCTCTTTTCCCGTTTGCTGCCTTCCTGTTTGTCTGTGAAGGCTTGCATTCATTCAGGTCCTTTTAATATCTGCCACATCATATCGGCTGGAGAGAAATCCATTTTCAGAGATAAGTGCCGCCTGTCTCAAGGCCACACACACACAGCAAACATCTATGTGATGATAGTTGATAGTGCACACAGAGAGCTAGAGAGCTCACAGCCATCACTGTGCTCTATGTAAATCCCTATTTAGGACAGACAGCCGTAGAGCAGGCACCATAAAATAATTTGGCAGTCTGCCTTACTTGGTCACGATAGAGGTATGCTACGTGTGTTTACTCAGTAGTGCACTGTGTACAACAGCTGGTGTCAGAGTCATGGACCTAATGATAACAGCTTAAAGACAAACTGACGCAACTCACACTTCCCACTGTGAAATATGGAGACAGGATACCCGTATGGGAGCTATAGTAGGCCTGTGTCTCAGGTATACACAAAGTTCAGCATTTGCCGTGTTTTATAAATTCACATCAATAAATAGTAAACATGACTGTGAGCAGCATCGAGCTGATACAAGTCATGACAGTAGGGCTGCAATTAACAATTATTTTCATTTGTTGATTATTTTCTTGATTAATCAATTAGTTGTTGGGTCTATAAAATGTCAGAAAATGGTGAAAAATGTCAATCAGTGTTTCCCAAAGCTCAAGATGATGTTCTAAAGTGTCTTGTTTTGTCCACAACCCAAAGATATTTAGTTTACTGTCACAGAGGAGTACAGAAACCGGAAATATACACATTTGATAACTTGGAATCAGAGAATTTTTTACCTATTTTTTCTTCAACAATTACTCAAAATGACTGCTGATTAGTTTAGTAATTGACAAGTAATTGATAAATCATTGCAACTCTACATGTCGGATGACAAAAACATAAAGTGCTACCTTTGAGGATGCATAATTTAGTACAGCTAACCAATTGTCCAAGATTTGGTCTTGGGTTAATTAGTTTTTCTTCAAACACAACTGTGTAAAACCAAATTATTAACAGCTGAAGTGAAATGCAACTGATTATAATATCAAGTACAAAGTGAGTTAACTTGATAATGTCAATGTTATAAACATACAGGCCTAATGCGTATAAAACTGCATGCTTCTATGAATATTTTGCCAACCTTGACATTAATTGCCTATAATTCACTTTCACCTGAGCATTTGATGTCCTGCTGTGAACTCAGACAGACCTTTCAGCCCGCCATGGTTTATTTTAACCTCATGTGGTGTTGCTAAAGCATTTTTAATGGTATATTTCTGACCCACATCAAACTGTGCCACAGTTTTTTTGGTATAGCTTTGTCATGAGCACCTCCTTTAAAGTGTATAACAGGATCACTATAGTGCTTTATAAAAGACAGGCCAGGGTGTATAAATATATTGACATTATCATAATCCGGAGTAGATAACAGCTGTTAACTTTATCTACACAAGGGCCAAAGCACAAAATGCAAACTACAGGAGGTGACGTCGTCACCTCTGGTTTAGCTGGATAGTACCGTGTATGTGTCAAGCCCTCGTAGTACCGCGATTACTACCAGTTTTACTCCACAACACAGCAGGCCGTGGCGTGCAGCGACCAGGCCTCAACTACACACAAGGCCGCTTGGAAACGCTCTACTCACTGTCACCGTGAAATAACCGGTTTAACGGGCACATTGACACCTAATACCATGTAATACGGCTCATATTCCCCGTGCTGCATGACAGTGTGAAATGTCCCGAGCAGATGAACGCGTTAACTTTATCAATCCACTCCACAGCCACACACAACACAACGACAAACAGCGGACAAAAGTCGGTTTTTCGGGCCATCCGAAAGTGACAGTCGTCTGAAAATACAGCCAAAGCTGCCCGGATAACTTTGTACTGACCCTCGTCGTCATTTGCATTATTGCAACCGTGATACAAGAGGGAGAAAGTGTCAGTGTGTGTCCACAAACAAGGAGAAGGCCCTCGAGCCCTTTAAAAAAGCACATTAATTCAAACAGCCACGTTGATTCATGAAAAAGAGGAAGAAAATATGTCAGTGTAAGAGAGAGGAGGAGGAATGAAAAAGCGAGGAGTTTCCGAGGTTTGATACAACGCAACGAAAAAATTGTTCTAGGAAGTCCAACAGCAGTTATGGCGTTGAATTTATTTCTAGTGGAAAAGTTTCAAGCTCACTATGTCTAACCGCACCGCTCCCTTTTTTTCACAGAAGACACCCAATCCGCCCTCTACTCGTCTCCGTAGGCCACCCAGATATCGGGAAATACGTTGATCAGCTCAACTGCTAATACTGTTTATGGCCACAGTAAACATGAACAACGTTAGCAGCTCGGCAAAAAAGCACAACAAGCCCCACTGCAGTGCTGCAGGAGAAAGATTTGTGGGCAGCTTATACTCACCAGTGCTAATATAGTACCCCAGTGTGATTCTCTGTTGAGTCCGCCGGGTAAAATAGGGCAGGGTGGCCGGTCGTCCGCAGCTGCCAATTAGCAGCCGTTCATGTTTCTCCGGCAAAGCAACTTAAAAGGAGGAAAAACTACTGCCCTGTACATTCTACACTACAGTCGCAAAATGGTGAATGAAGCCCCCAAAGCCTTGACAACCAGCCCGTGCGGCCAATCGCGGAGCACGAACGGGTACAGTAGCCAATAGAATCGCGCAGAAGGGGAGCGGGGGCGGGGCCACGCGTCAAAGTAAATTTGATCGACGGCGCGACGCGGCCAATCACAGTGTGGGAAAACACAGAACAGCTGTTGGGAGAGCGAGGCTGCGGCGGCCAATGGAGCTCCTCTGTGGGCATGTCTGGGACTTATACAGGCACGCAGGACAGGGATGAAATCCTTCTTTATGTCTGTCTGTCTCTCTTCTTCTTTTCACCTCCTCTGCATGTTTCTACAAACATGAAAACGTGTGTGGATAAATCGACAGGGGGGAAGCTTTTTGAAACGGGTTGTACATCTTCAGTTGACTAAAACACACTGACATGACATGATCAAATTTAACATATATGAATGTGTCACATCCCAAGCTGTCTCGTATATTATAACTGCAACTCACAGTTTAAACAAGCGTGCTATCTATTTATCTGTACATATTCCCTGTGCTGTGCAGTGTGTCCTGTGATCCATGTGAGCCACAGGTTGAGTGTAGTTTCAGAGGAATCACAAAGAACACCAACTCCCAAATTCTCATGCTTTCTCTCTCTCCATCCCTCTCACTCTTTTCCCCTGCCAGCTAATCAGAGGCATCCTTAACAGCCCAGCGTCCCTTAGTCCCGCCTCCCCAGCCAATCAGATCAGCCGCTGGAGGCTGTATGTCACCAGAGCAGCGTGTGATTGGCTAAGAGGCCAGGGGTCTGCAGGCCAATGACCAAGTGCTGTGGTGAGGTCATTATGCTTGTTGCCATCAGCTTGGCCCAACAGGAAGAGTGAAACCCCAGTGAGTAAATTGGTCCAAAGTGGGATTATGGTTCCTAAGAGAGTGACCCATATACACTGTGGGCCACCCTGCGAACACACAAACACACACACTGTGTGTACGCAGGGAGGCATGCACGTGTACCAGCAGGTACAGCCTGTAATACACTGAAGAATACAAGACAACATGCAAACTAAAGGCTAAAAAATAACACAGTTAAACATGCATGAGTGCACACACAGACACACACACACACACACACACACACAAGCAACACAGTGGCATCCTGCTGCGATTTCATAAGACGCTAATGGCGTGTGATTGCTGTGTAGCAGTGCGACGCACTGTTTCTATAGCTTACAGGCACAGATGGCGAGTTTGGTCAATGATGATACAGAGCTGGCTGGTTGCAGCATTGCAGTCTGACGGGTACACACACATGCACACAGGCGAGCGGGTACATTTACCACAGTTACAACTGGGCGTACAGCATACAAGCAAGCACATACACACACACATAGCAGGAGCAGTGGAGTTAGAACATGCCTGGGCGTTACATAAGCTGTACGTGTACTGTAGCACACACACGCACACACACTGTGCCTGGTCCTGTGCAAGCAAACACACATTTACACACTTTTGTGCATATTGTACAGACTATATAGCCTCTCTGAGCATGCAAACAGACAGGCATGCACTGTTGCACATACAACTCAGTACAGCACAGGTTTCTTATTAATATTTTGTTTGCACACTCATGCGCAAGCAACCCCTCCACACACACACACACACAAACACCCACAAGCTCAGCATTTATGTATTTACTGTACACATTTTATGGTCTTGTAGACCACATACAACTTGTGACTCGTAAACCTGTGAAAATGCACCATAGACGCACAATCAGACTCACACACATGTAAGTGCAGAGTGAGTGGGATCTCCAGACATCTTTCCACACCCCTAATAGTGAAGCACTGCAGTCTCTGTCTCACTCTAACTGACTGCTCATTCACCGTAGACGAGTGTGTATTCAGAAATGTAGGGCGAGTACAGCGAGCACGCAACTTTGAGGGGTGGCTGGTTTCATAAGCCGCCGTCAAGAGACATTAGAGAGAGGAAGAGACCCGAGGTTTAAGTCTCAGAAAAGCTTCAGAATAAGACTGGAAATGAAAGTGTGATGGAGGCTTCAGTGGTGAAAGGTAGAAGTGAGACAGACAGTGAAGAGAATTACGACAGACGGGTTGTTGCACTAATATAAAGAAAGACAAAGAGACAGACATGAATCATGCAAGTGAGAAAAACAGCAAGGACGAGGGAGAGAGACGGAAACAGAGAGAAATGGCCAGAGAGGTGGACTGAGAGTGAGTCTTTGCTGCAGAAGTCGAGCTGTTTGTGAATGAGTGCCATAAATCCGGCTGGTATTAGCACCTCTGAGCACTTTCTAAGAATGAGGCAGAGTGCTGCGGCTAAGCCCCCCAATCCCAGTCACTTTACACTAAATGCATTACGACCACTTAACTGTTAAACAGCTCCAGGGACCCTGCACTGTACCTGACCCAACACTCTCACACTCTCATTCAAGTGAGTGTGTGTTTTAAAAAAAGATCAAATGGAGATCGAGAGATGGACCAGATGAGTCCAACTCTACTCTTCTCCACCCCAGCCAATATTTTGAGGTTGAGTAGATGTACAGTAGATTTAACAGCTGCACCTGCTATGAATAATGAAATCTGAGATGAGTGTGCAGTCACTCATAGCCACTGCCTGTGCAATTATCTGAGTAATTTAGAAACAATTTAAATATCCTTCTGGTGTTAGATGAATAGGCTGAATCCCAAATCAATTTTTATAGAAATACTATACTATTGGTATTAGTAGCAATATTCACAGTAAACAGAAAGTGATGTCAGGCAATTGCTGAGTTATCACATCAGCCTGCAGCTTTGGAAGCACCATTATTTTGAATTTCACATCTTCACACATGTAGCTGACAGGGTCGAAAAAGCTGGAAGTAAGTGGACCTTGAGGTGACACTGTTAACAGCTGTTTCCAACGTCAAGAATTAACTGTCAGACTAAATGTTATGTCAAGGTCCCACAGGTGCTCACGAATGACAAAAGATGCTCATGAATGATGAAGGAAAGTTTGTACATCTACAGTTTCAAGGCAACTGAGCCAACTCAAAATACCAATGAGAACTGTGTGATAACGAAAGCTCCAGAAAAATCTGAGCAGGGGTGGAAGATGTACTCAGTTTCTAAGTACTTTTATCCAAAGCAACTTACATTTGAGGAACAACATACACGCATCAGTAAAGTGAGAGATCTACAAGAGACAATATATACTATTAAGAGCTATAAACGCATACGGCATCAATGGGATAAATACCTTGGGGAATTAATTAGAATGAATCAATAGTGCAATCAAGACAAGCGAATTGTAAGAAGATAGAAAATGAGGGCAGGAAGTGCTAGTTAGAGGTTAGTGATGGCATGTGGTAGCTCGTTCCTCCATCGTGGTGTCACAAATGAAAACAGCTGGGACTGAGAATGCCTTGTGTGGAGGGACTGCAGAGCCTGACGCCGTTGGTTGGAAGAGCAAAGTAAAAGTAGTAATAACACACAGTAATAGCACAAGGTAAAAAATACTCTGTTGCAAGTAACAGTTTTGTATTCAGTTTTACTCCAAGAAAAGTACAGAAGCATTATCAGTAAAGCGTACTTAAACATGCAATCACTGATTTTATGGCCACTTGGGGGCAGTGGAACCAACTAGTGAAATATCATCTATGGTGACCTTTATGGCAAATAGTTAAATAGTTAAATTAGTAACGCTTTTGTTTTTGCCCCCATTTATCTGAACTCTTTCTCTATGTACACAAAAGGCCTATTTCTTTAAAATATTGTCCTCAAATACGTCAAAATCTGTGTAAGTGAGCCCTTCTCCTTTGCAGAGATAATCCATCCATCTCACAGGTGTGGCATATCAATATGCTGATCAGACAGCATGGGTATTGCACAGGGGTGCCTTAGGTTGACCACAATAAAAGGCCACTCGAAAATGTGCAGTTTCACTGTATTGGGGGGTACCGGGGGGGGAAACACATCTCCTTCGCATAGATTTGATCAGGTTGTTGATTATGGCCTGTGGAATGTTGATCCACTCCTCTTCAATGGCTGTGCAAAGTCGCAGTCAGGTCGAGACCCCGATGAGGACGACGAGCATGCAGATGAGCTTCCCTGAGACGATTCCTGACAGTTTGTGCAGAAATTCTTTGGTTATGCAAACTGATTGTTGTGGCAGTTGTCTGGGTGGCTGGTCTCAGACGATCTTTGAGGTGAAGATGCTGGCCGGTTGGATGTACTGCCAAATTCTTTGAAACGCATTGGACATGGACATTCCTGCAGTCAGCATGCCAATTGCACGCGCCCTCAAAACCTGCGACATCTGTGTCATTGTGCTGTGTGATGGAACTGCACATTTTCGAGTGGACTTTTATTGTGGCCTGCCTAAGGACACCTGTGCAATACCCATGCTGTCTGATCAGCATCTTGATAATCCATCAAGTGCTCACTAACACAGATTTTGACAGATTTCTGAACAATATTTGACAGAAATAGGCCTTTTGTGTACATAGAGAAAGTCTTCTTTGAGTTCAGCTCATGATGAATGGGGGCAAAAACAAAAGGGTTGCATTTATAATTTTGTTCAGTGTAGATCTAAGTCCAATATTCAATCTAATTTCGCTCTATTTGTGCTCTCTACCAACTCCTGAAAATATCAGTCTCTTTAGTTGATAAGGGCTCCACTATGTTCACCAGCTAGTCTCTGTGTCTGTCTGCTGAACAGGTGCTGGACAGGTGGTGTGCGGTGGCCTTTTAAAGATTTTTTACTGATAACAGCTGCCTGCTGCAAACAAAACTATGTCATGAGAGCGACGAGAGTGAAGCAAAACAATAGTTGTTGTGAGCCGAACAGCTAAACAATGAGCTGTAACTCACTGTAAAACTGAAAGCTGAGGGGAGACGCAGATCCAGGTGATAATGCTCTGAAGATTAATCACTACAAGCAACTCTTTTACATTGGTTTCACATTTGATACACGGTTATTATAAGAAATAAGAAGAAAGAAAGCCGCTTTACATTATCAAAAGTACACATTATGCA